ACATAATTTTTTTTTCCTACAAAAAATCTCTGCGGTATAAACGGGTACAAACGATGACAAGCCGAGAACTTATTGTAACGTTCAATTAGCGTATGTATAATGATAATAGAAACGAAATTCTCGGGGTACAAACGGGTACAAACGTGAGAAGCTGAGAACTTATCGTAAAAATCAATTAGCACGTGTATAATGATGATACAAACTAAATTCTCCACGGTACAAACGGGTACAAACGAAGAGAAGCCGAGAACTTATTGTAACATTCAATTAGCGTATGTATAATGATGATACAAACCAAATTCTCGTCGGTACAAACGGTGAGAAGCCGAGAACTTATTGTAAAATTCAATTATCGCATGTATAATAATGAAAGAAACGAAATTCTCGACGGTACAAACGGGTACAAACGATGAGAAGCTGATAACTTATCGTAAAAATCAATTAGCACGTATATTATGATGATACAAACCAAATTCTCCACGGTACAAACGGGTACAAACGAACAGAAGCCGAGAACTTATTGTAACGTTCAATTAGCGTATGTATAATGATAATAGAAACGAAATTCTCGGGGGTACAAACGGGTACAAACGGTGAGAAGCTGAGAACTTATCGTAAAAATCAATTAGCACGTGTATAATGATGATACAAACTAAATTCTCCGCGGTACAAACGGGTACAAACGAAGAGAAGCCGAGAACTTATTGTAACATTCAATTAGCGTATGTATAATTTTTTTTTATTTTATTTATTATCAGTTGGGAAACAAACAGCTTTTATAATACAGAAATATGTAAATACAATCTATTCTTCTCATCAGCCAATAAAGTTTCCACTTATAAGTAAACATGGAGTGAAAAAAAAAAATTACAAACTATACGTAAAATAAACTAAACATAATCTTTGTGTATAGAGAGGGTTGCAAAATACATATTATATCAAGGATGATCGAGTTTATGCTTAATGCTTTGAGAAAATTTGTTGATATTACTATCAAATATGTCAAGTTGGTTATAATATGTATTATGCGATCTACAAGCTCTAATTACAAAACAGTTCTTGGCATAATTTGTTCTACACATAGGGACACAAAAAGTATCTTTAGAACGGGTGCAAAAAGTTGGGCATTTGAAATTAATATTGCTTAGAAGATAATCGGAATCAATTAAATTATGTAAGATTTTATAAAGAAAAATTTGGTCTCTGTATTCTCTACGTTGCTTCAATGATAAAATATTTAAATTTTTAATTTCAACTACATCAAATCTATACCTCAATCGCTTTATAAATTTATTTTGCACACTCTCTACTGCTTCAATATATTTGTTATATTGCGGGTTCCACACAGTCGAAGCATACTCTAAATGAGATCTAACATATGAATTATACAGCAGATTAAATGTATGTATGCTTTTAAAATCACTAGCGCTTCTAAATATAAAGCCAAGCATTTTGTATGCTTTTGTAATTATATTTATTATATGTTTATCAAATATAAGTTCAGCATCCAACAACACGCCTAGGTCTTTCACGTCATACACTCTCTTCAGTTGTTTATTAAAAATTTTATAATCAAATATAATTGGCGCTTTCTTTCTGGAGAATGTTATAACACAACACTTGTCGATATTCAAAAATAACCCATTAGATCTACAGTAATTCTCTAAATAAACTAAGTCATCCTGAAGTTTTGCACAATCTTCGTTTGTTTTTATAATTTTAAAAATCTTTGTATCATCTGCATAAAGAAGTATATTTGAATTTTGAAAAGACTGTAAAATGTCATTTTATGAAAATATTAAAAAGAAGAGGGCCAAGGTGAGAACCCTGTGGAACTCCAGATGTAATGGGAACAAACTAGAGATAAATCCCTTAACAGCCACCGCTTGAGACCTGTCGCGAAGATAAGATTCAAGCCACCTTAAGAGATCACCATGTATACCAGCATGCTCTATTTTGCGAATTAATATAGAATGTGAGATCTTATCAAAGGCTTTGGAGAAGTCGGTATAAACGGCATCGATTTGAAATCCGCTACTCATATCTGAGAGCACAATATCCAGGAAATTCGCACAAATTTGATTCAGTTGAACGTCTATTAACAAATCCATGTTGTTGTGAAATAAGTAAGGGTCGCAATAAGGGGAATAGGGTATCATAAATAATTTTTTCTAATAATTTTGGTATTACAGATAGTTTTTGATATTCCTCTATAGTTTCTAATATTATGCTTATCTCCATTTTTAAATATTGGAACAATAATAGATTTCTTCCAGATTGGTGGCAGTACACCTGAATGTAAAGATTTCATAAATAGTATGTGTAGCGGAATAGCGATTTGACTACTACAACGTTTGAAAAATATAGGATGCAATTGGTCAGGGCCACTTCCTTTGGAACAATCAAGCTTTAATAAATATTTTTCGATGGTCTCCTTAGTTATATTAATATTGCCAATAGATATATTATGTCTAGAAGGTAAGATATGTTCTCTAGTTTTAATATTTCCGTCAACTTCAAAAACAGATTGAAAGAATGAGTTAAACAAGTTAGCTATAGTTTGACCATCCGAACCAAACTGATTATCAAGAAACATATTCTCTGGGATACAGTTACTAAATCGCTTTGATTTTACATAGGACCAAAAGTGTTTTGAATTATAGCGAATATTTGTTTCTGCCATTTCTATGAAAAAATTATAACATTCTAATTCTAGATCCTTAGTTTCACGACGAAGTTCTGAGAAGCGGTCATAATCGCTAGGTCGTCCATAAATTTTCCATTTTTTATGTATTTTTAATTTTTTATTAATCAATCTAATTAAGTGTTTCGAAAACCAAGCCGGAAATCTACCGTGATGATAAACTACTTTAGTCGGTACAAGTCTATCAATAACTTCATTCACTATGAGATAAAATTTATCAACAGCATCTGTAATATTATCTGATGAAAGTTGTTTCGTCCAGTCAATTCTACTCAATTCAGTGTTATTAGTATCATAATTAGCGTCATGGAAGCGACGAACAATGCGAGATGGTTCTCTGAGATTGCTGCCAGAAGTACCTCCTTCAAAGTTTACGGTCAGGGCTGGATGGTGAGCATCCTCTGGCAACGATAAAGGAGTTGTTCTCTCTACTAAACAGGCAATATTAGATAAAACCAAATCAAGTAATCTATTATTAAAGTTCAAGATATTATTATATTGATTTAATCCAGTAAATGTCATAAATGCAAATAATTGTAATATTAAACTGCTACCGGAAGTATTTTGAATTGTTAAATTTCCATCGGATTGAACCGACCATACTGCCTCCCTGATGTTAAAATCACTCAGTATAACAAAATTGTCATTAGGTCTGTTAATTAATAAATCTGACAAAAATTCAAAAAAACTTGCTTCAGAGTCGCATTGATGAATACTCTGAGGAAAGTAACAACAAAACAGGTGTAACTTGTTTTTAGTTGAGTCCTGTCCTACAATCAAATGTACGTATGTTATGTCAGCATCAGGTAAACAAGGGAGCGTGCTAAGGCTTCGTACATCTATACTCGCACAACCATGCCGCACTGCAATTAGAGTGCCACCGCCCCTCTTTACTCCTAGACGAGCATAATCACGGTCGTTACGGTATATGCTATAGCGCGGGTCAAAGAGTTTCTTCGTCAAAAATTCCGTCCAGCAACCAGGACTCAGTTCAAACAAATTACATCATAACTTTTATTCAGTAAATTAAAGTAAAATTGTTTTGTTTTAGTACGTAGACCCCTAACGTTTTGATAATATATAGTTAAATTCATATTAAGAGAAAACAAAACTTAATAAAAATAGTAATTGTGTGTATTAATAACAATAAAGTAGAAATTAGCTGCAACATATCAATCGTATGGTCGATAAGAAAATAAAGAGACCAAGGTGCCCTACAGAAACTCCGATAATAATTAAAGTTGCCCACATAAAAACGCCTAAATACATTCACGAAATAATAGTTATAAAGAGAGGTTAATACAATTAATGCATAGTGAAAAAGAAATCTAAAAATTAAAAGCCAACTAAAAACCAAACATACAAATATAGTTATTAGTATAACAAAACCCACTGTAGTTGTAGTTCTTATGAAATTTTTTTTAAACATTCGTTTAAAGTGATATGTATGACTGGAGAGCTGATGATATGAATGATGATACAAACCAAATTCTCGTCGGTACAAACGGTGAGAAGCCGAGAACTTATTGTAAAATTCAATTATCGCATGTATAATAATGAAAGAAACGAAATTCTCGGCGGTACAAACGGGTACAAACGATGAAAAGCTGATAACTTATCGTAAAAATCAATTAGCACGTATATTATGATGATACAAACCAAATTCTCCACGGTACAAACGGGTACAAACGAACAGAAGCCGAGAACTTATTGTAACGTTCAATTAGCGTATGTATAATGATAATAGAAACGAAATTCTCGGGGGTACAAACGGTGAGAAGCCGAGAACTTATTGTAAAATTCAATTATCGCATGTATAATAATGAAAGAAACGAAATTCTCGGCGGTACAAACGGGTACAAACGATGAGAAGCTGATAACTTATCGTAAAAATCAATTAGCACGTATATTATGATGATACAAACCAAATTCTCCACGGTACAAACGGGTACAAACGAAGAGAAGCCGAGAACTTATTGTAACATTCAATGAGCGTATGTATAATGATAATAGAAACGAAATTCTCGGGGGTACAAACGGGTACAAACGATGAGAAGCTGAGAACTTATTGTAATATTCAATTAGCGTATGAATAATGATAATAGAAACGAAATTCTCGGCGGTACAAACGGGCACAAACGAAGAGAAGCTGAGAACTTATCGTAAAAACCAATTAGCATGTGTATAATGATGATACAAACCAAATTCTCCACGGTACAAACGGGTACAAACGATGAGAAGCTGAGAACTTATCGTAAAAATCAATTAGCACGTGTATAATGATGATACAAACAAAATTCTCCACGGTACAAACGGGTACAAACGAAGAGAAGCCGAGAACTTATTGTAACATTCAATGAGCGTATGAATAATGATAATAGAAACGAAATTCTCGGCGGTACAAACGGGTTCAAACGATGAGAAGCCGAAAAACACGCAGGGAGGTGGCCCACTTCGGTGGGCGGTAGGAGGTAGCCCTCTTCGGTGGGCGGTGTACCATGCGGGTTGCTCCTGGTGCTTCTCAGATTGGACCTTGGAGCAACCCCATGGTTGTGGTCTACTTCGGCAGACCTACTGTCGGGGCGTCGTTGTTGAATGCGTAAGCGATTCTGCGACGCCCCATTAAGACGGGGGAGGGTTTTGTTAGGTTTTAGTGGGTAGTACTGGCTTTGCCGGCGAGTCCCACACCTCATGCGTAAATGCATTTCCCAACGTTAAAAAAAAGGCTGTAAGCTATGAAGGAGTGGCTGAGCCATATTTTTGTGAAAAAGGTATCAAAACATCGGCACAAGTGTATCAAGATACCATTCTTGAGGAGGTAGTTAAGCCCTGAACAACATTATTAACGATCGATTACCATTGTAAGTCCTGCAATAAAGATGATAAAGTACAGGCCGTTGTAGTCGAAGTGGATGTCAAACCGTTTTATACTCACGGTATTCAATCCTTGACACAAGTCTTACAAAATCAACTGCATCAAAAGAGAAAGTGTGTGGTTTGCCGATCAGAAGATGTGACATCAGCAATTACAATCGGTAATCACATGATCATCGACATTGAGTGTCTGCAATGGACCCAGCTTGCCAAAAATCTTGAACATCCTGATTGGCCAGGGACTCTCACGATAAGTCAAGTACCGAAGAAAATTGAAATCGCAAAGTCAACTTATACTATACAGTCGGTAGTTGAATATGTTGGTGAATTACAATCACCGGAGCCTTGCAAAATGCAATCTGAATTATTGATGGGTCATTACATCGCATAAGTTCACAATGACATCCTCGTCGGCGGTAAGTCAGTAATCGCGACAGCACGAATGTTATTTGAAAAGAGAAAATTGTCCCTTCTAATTTATATTGAAACAGATTAAATAAGAAATCAGTGCTGTAGAAAGCGAGCTTTATTTTTAATTTAATTTTGAATCGAAAAGTCCAAACATTACTTAGTTAATCACACAAGATCTTTCTGATCTTTTATTTTATGTTTTTATGAGCACATAAATATAATATTTGTGTTTTAATTTAATTTTAATCAAACAAAAGTTTATTTTTCATTCGATTGTCAAGTTTTCTAATTTATGGAGGAATTTCGAAGGATGCACTTCGGCATAAGTATCGTAACAAAAAATAATTAGTAATATCAGTATTTTTTTATTTTCATGAACACCTGATAATATTTTGCGAAAGTGGAAAAACAATATCCGTTCATTTCCATCCAAACATGTTTTTCTGACATAACGAATCCTTTATTGTCGTATCCACGCTTTTCATTCATTTTTCTTTATCACTACGATCTAATTATTTGTCAGATAATAACAACGGTTACCAGGCAACAAACAGTTATCAGCTAAATAAAACTATCTTTTCGGATTATTTCGCGGATTTATTTGAATTTTTAGTAAGTTCTTACTGTGTAGATCAAAATGATAGCATTTTAGATTAATATTTTTCATTTATAAAAGTATATAGTAATAGTGTTGCTTAGTAAATTGTCTTTTTTAAATAATAGCAAACTAAATTAAAATTATTATTCCTAACTAATTTTAACTTTTTATATTACACATAGAACAATTAATTATGGGGCTTAAATAATTAATATTATATATTTTATGTTTTCTTTATGGTTATAAATATAATAATGGCAACACTAAATATAAATTACTAATTAATAATTTTAAAATTGTAATAATTATGATAATAGCAAAAATTAAATAAATAATTACATATTCAATTATAAATCTAATTAAAATTATAAAAATGTTCAAAATTATAAAATATTGTAAGGTACTATGTGCAATTTTTCATTTGTTAATTGTAGGTAGGCTGTCTGTAACAAATATACCTTCGAGACATCTTACACCTCAGTCTCTCCCGTGACCATGATTGCTGTAAAGCATTCAAAACGTCAAGAACCAAAAATCAAAATGATTCCGCGAAATAATCCCAAAAGATAGTTTTATTTAAAATGTCAAATATTCGAGTAAATAAAGTATTAGTTATCAGACAACTTCATTATGTCGCTTTTTGGCTGTCAGTATCGACGCATCGTAAAAATTTTACTCTAATATTTTTTTCCAAACGTGCCAAACGAAGTATAACTTCAAAAAATGATTGGAAAAAGAAAAAAGTTAAAATTGAAAGAAATAATAATAATAAAAATAAAAAAGAACCCCTACGGTTACTACAACCTTGACGCATGGTATAGGGGCTTAAGCTTCAGTATTTTAAGCGAACCAATGTGGTAAATAAAGTGAATGTTGATAATTCCCGGTGGATTTTGTATAAGTCTTATAAATGCCCGCTACGAAAATTAAATTCTACTGACCTATCCCAGCAATTTCACGGGAAGTCCATGTTCTTACAGAAGAGTTTTAGGCTTCTCATCGTTTGTACCCGTTTGTACCGTGAAGAATTTGGTTTGTATCATCATTATACACGTGCTAATTGATTTTTACGATAAGTTCTCAGCTTGTCTTCGTTTGTACCCGTTTGTACCGTGGAGAATTTGGTTTGTATCATCATAATACACGTGCAAATTGATTTTTACGATAAGTTCTCAGCTTCTCATCGTTTGTACCCCCGAGAATTTCGTTTCTATTATCATTATTCATACGCTAATTGAATGGTACAATAAGTTCTCGGCTTCTCTTCGTTTGTACCCGTTTGTACCGTGGAGAATTTAGTTTGTATCATCATTATAATAATAATAATAATAATCTTTATTTCAGACGTAAGTACATCCATATATTGTTAATTGGTTAGTAACAATTATACTTAATACTATGTTAGTATTGTTAGTATTTTTTGCATAAAATATTACTTATTTATTCTTTATTTATCTTAGTCCAATGGCCAACTCCATCCAGTGTTTCTGAAAGGGGCAGTCCATTCTGGCCGAAATACACTTTAAAATACTGTTGTTGCTATCGCGTAGACGCTGCATCAAAGAAATAGCTTTCTTGCGCATAATGGCATGAAACCCATCTGTGTGTGCTTCTGCGAACATCTTTGAAGCACTACAACGCCACGACAGCCCCAACAGCATTCTAAAGGCATTATTATATTGCACACGCAAGGCGTTGTAGGCCCGGCGCGAATATGCCACCCACAAACTACAGGTATAAAAGGACTGACAGAACGCTTTAAATAGTGTTATTTTGACGTCCTTCGTACACCGAGCAAATCTGCGGACGACCATATTGCTCCTAACCGCCAACGCCCTGCGTTCCCTCTCAATGTCATCATCATCCCGTAGATCACTAGTAATGATGTGACCAAGATACTTAAATTTCTCGACAACGTTCAGCGATACACCATTTAGACTCACGAACGGGACATGGCGTGGTTTTAATTTTTGACACTTAAACACAAGTATTTCACTCTTTTTTGAGTTGTATGCAAAGCCATGCACCTTTGCGTAAGTCTCACAGGTAGCTATCAGTTTTCTTAAGCCGGCTATGGAAGGACTGAGCAAGACCATGTCGTCTGCGTAGCTTAGATTATTGACACAGGTGTCGTCAATGTGACAGCCGACATGTGTGTTACTCAATTCCTCCACGAGTTGGTCAATGTACAGGTTGAAAAGTAAGGGTGAACTCAAACCTCCCTGTCTCACTCCGCACTCCAATCTGTATTCATCCGACAGTGCACCGACCCATCTTACTTGATTTCTCTGGTTAGCATACCAGTATTTCAAAAGGGACGTATACTCCGCCGGTATACCTGCGTCCTTTAACTTGCTCCAAAGTACATCATATGAAACAAGATCAAATGCCTTAGATAAATCCAGGAAATACGCATATACCGGCGTACGCCTTGCAGTATAGTACTTGACAGTATGCTTCAGACTAAGAATAGCGCTTTCTGTCGACAGACCTGATCTAAAGCCGAATTGGGCATCTTGCAAAGAAACGTGCTTATATAGCCTGCCATTTATCACACTGTCAAGTATTTTAGCTGCGGTGGTAGCAAGCGAGATGGGGCGATAATTGCTCATATCGGACGTGTCACCAGTCTTGTTCTTAACTATTGGTACTACAGTAGTCCGCATAAGCGGCTCCGGTAAATATGAATGATTTAGACACAGATTGAAAAACAGTGCGAGAACTCGAGGCAGATGAACTCCCGCATACTTAAAGTGTTCAATGCTGAGATTATCGTGACCAGGTGATTTTCCACGAACCATTTCTTTAATTATTTGTGCCACCATTTTTTCCGTAATCTTTTCAATCCCGCTCGCCGTGATAGTCTCAGCATCGTTCACCTTATTCAACGTGGAACCCAGAGGTGATCGCATAGTGAAGCGCGACCTAAATGCATCAGCAATTTCTTTATGGTCGGAAAGACCATCTACACTCACGGGTAAACTCGGCCTAGTTTTCATTTTATTAGTGTTCTTCCAGAAACTCTTAAAATCTTTGGATAAGTGATCTGACGCGAGAATGTCCATTTGAAGTTGTTCCTGTCGGTTTTGACACCATTTTAATTTTGCCACTTTTATTATACACGTGCTAATTGATTTTTACGATAAGTTCTCAGCTTCTCATCGTTTGTACCCGTTTGTACCGTGGAGAATTTGGTTTGTATCATCATTATACACGTGCTAATTGATTTTTACGATAAGTTCTCAGCTTCTCTTCGTTTGTACCCGTTTGTACCGTGGAGAATTTGGTTTGTATCATCATAATACACGTGCTTATTGATTTTTACGATAAGTTCTCAGCTTCTCATCGTTTGTACCCCCGAGAATTTCGTTTTTATTATCATTATTCATACGCTAATTGAATATTACAATAAGTTCTCGGCTTCTCATCGTTTGTACCCGTTTGTACCGTGGAGAATTTCGTTTCTATTATCATTATTCATACGCTAATTGAATATTACAATAAGTTCTCAGCTTCTCATCGTTTGTACCCGTTTGTACCCCCGAGAATTTCGTTTCTATTATCATTATACATACGCTCATTGAATGTTTTTTTTTTTTATTTTTATTTTATTTATTTGGTAATCAAACAGCGTTACAGTATTACTTAAGATTGCACATTGTACACAAAGGAGAGTTACAATAAGGCCAAAATTAGATTACACTAAAAATACTATAATAATGAACAACAGGCATCAAAATGGTAAAATAAAATGTAGATATTCAAAAGATGTTTTAGATCTAAAGATAATATATATTATGTTGGTGCAAAGGTAAAAATATAAAGGTGTATGTGTGCGTGTGTGCTTGTGTGTGTGTGTGTGTATTGTGTGAAGTTGTGTGTGTATGCTCAAATAATAAATTCTATTATTATTACTTAAAATAAACAAATCAATGACTGCTCACGTATTATGACTTAATGGCTATACTTCTTTTTTTTATCTCTTTTTTAAAGACTACTTCAGATAACTTAAATATATCCAAATCAGAGTATTGTTCATTATAAATTTTAACTGATCGCGTTAAGATGGCATTTTTGGCATATTGGGTTTTAGTAGGAGGTACATATAGCAAGGGTGTATGGCGCGTTCGCTGCTTTGGAACCTGAAAGGATATGTTTGATAGAAGTTCAGGGCAATCAGTCTTATTGTTTAATATTGCGTGCAGCAATTTCATATCGCTTTGTGCTCGTCTACTTTCGAGTGTTTCTATATGATAATATTCATATGCATCACGATCTGTATCAAATTTTTTGTAATTTTTAAATTGTAAGTATTTTACAAATACATTTTGAATTTTTTCGATTCTCTGTATATCTGATTTATGATAAGGTGACCAAATATTACTGGCATATTCTAGTAGACTTCGTATGTATGCAAAATAAAGCATTTTGATACATTCTATATTTTTAAAACTAGAGGTTGCACGCTTAATAAACCCGAGTTGTTTATAAGCCTTGTTGATTATAATTTCATAATGTTCGCTAAATGTTAATTTTTGGTCTAATGTAATACCTAAATCCTTCACTGATGAGACCTTGCCAATTGTTGCTCCGTTAATACTGTAAGTGTGGTCAATAGGTTTAAGTTTTTCGGGTGAACGTAATATGATGACATTTATTAATATTTATCGTTATTCTATTTGTCTCATAGTAGGTAGCTAGCCTATCTAAGTCTGCTTGTACTTTTTTGCAATCTTCAATAGTACGAACTCTGAGGAATATTTTCTTGTCATCAGCAAACATCAGGAAGCGAGAGTGCTTAAAGCAGTTACTTATGTCAAATAAGTATGCGTTATATAAAAGAGGTCCCAAGATAGAGCCTTGAGGTACTCCCGATGATATATTTAAGAAGTTACTCCTAGCACTTCCCATTTTAACTGCCTGCATTCTATTTTTAACGTATGACGAAAACCATCTTAACAGATTTCCATGTATACCCAGTAGATCAAGTTTACGCAATAAAATTACATGATCAACTCGATCGAAAGCTTTTTCGAAATCAGTGTAGATTACGTCAACTTGATCTTTTTCATCCATGACTTTAAGGACGTAATCAGTGAAAACTCCTAAATTCGACACTGTAGAGCGTCTTTGCATAAATCCATGTTGTTCGATAGGAATGCATTTTTTAATATTAAATTAATTTTATCACGTATTATTTTCTCAAATATTTTGCTCATGACATTTAATATAGAAATAGGTCGATAATTTGTTATTAAAGATTTTGATCCACTTTTATGAATTGGAACTACTAATGCTTCTTTCCATTTTGTAGGAAAGCAACCAAAAGTATTTATAGATAAATTAAAAATAATTGTAAGGGGTCTAGCCAAGCTTTTTGCACATTTTTTAAGAAATATAGGCGGTATGTTATCGCTTCCAGGGCCTTTACTCAAGTTAAGCATTGTTAATTGTTTCAAAACAGTACATTCAGTTATGATGAACCCAGAAATCGAATCATTTACGTTATTCGTTTGTAGATCTAAGTCTTTATATGATGAAGCAGGTTTCATAAATACACTGTCAAAATGCCTACTAAATCCATTGCAAGCTTCGGTCTCTTCGGTGTAAATATTATCCTCGTAGGTAAGAGTATTAGGATAGCTACTTTTGTTGTGTTTTAATGAGTTCAAATATGTAAAAACAAGTTTAGGTTCTTTTTTGATATATTCTTGCATTTGCAAAGTATATTTTTCAAAACATTCTATTTGCTTAGATTTCTGTCTTGTTCGAAGCAAAGCAAATTCATCGTAATCTCGAGGGTTATTATAGGTTTTCCAACGTTTATGGGTTCTTTTTTTATCCCTGATTATATGAATTAACGCTTTTGTATACCACACTGGAAATTTATAAGAGTTAATATTTTTATTAGATATGTATTCAGATATTAAATTATATAATATAGTGTAAAAAGTATCCATGACGTCATCTATTGTCCGCGCTTGTAAGGCTAGGTTCCAATGAATATTAAGCAAATGATCATTAATTTTTTCATAATCACCTTTATAAAAGTTAGGTTTGCTAATGGGTTTGTGGCGAAAAGTACGTATATTTAGATTTGTTAAGCTTATTTCTAGACAGGGTGATGTGCATCTTCCATCACGAGGGGAGTCTCGGAATGAGATACATTAATATGTGTATTCGCAAGGATAAGGTCGAGAATTTTATTGTTTGAATTCAGTATATTATTATATTGCTTGAGTCCATTTAAATTGCACATATCTAAAAAGTCTATGGCCGCATTTAATAAGGAAGCAGAACTGTAGTTTGTATGTATAGGTCCATTTTCAGTCCACCTAGTATTACATAGATTGAAATCACCTGCTATAAAAAAATGATCGTGAGGATGGATCAATATTACCTGGGCAATGCAGGCAGTTATTGCTTCCAACCTACTGGGCAACATCTTGTCTGGTGGGGCGTAGAACAAACCAATATGAATATTTTTATTTTCATTTTCGTAGCTATTCATTTTATTAAGGGGTAAAGTTATCCATAATGATTCCACGCCATTACACATCCAATCCTGTTTATGTTGTGCTTTAAATTTTTTCAATACACATAGCATAACTCCTCCGCCCGTTTCCTTCAGGGATGTGCCTTTGTGTCGATCACATCTAAAGATGTCATATCTATCATCGCATATTTCACCATTATAAATACTCTGACATAGCCAGGATTCTGTAATTAATATTAAATCAAATTCATTATTTAGTATGTTTTGTTTAAATTGTTGTGTTTTGGTTCGTAATCCTCGAGTATTTTGGTAAAGCATTTCAATAGATTTAGTCGCCATTTATAATGAATATTTGAGTAAGAAAATAGAATAAACAATTATTGTAATATGAGGTAGAGGATGCCAAAATTTTTGTGCAATCCCATGAGCAGAAAATGAGAGAGCAAGATGTTTTGTGTTTGAGTGGTAGGTTGATGTGTGATTGATTTTGAATGAATTGTAGGAAGTTGTGTGTGTGTGAAAGGGAGTAAGGGGTTTTGTGTGGTACACCTTGTGAATAGCTTTTATAGATATCTAATTTAACAAAAAAGAAGAAAATAAGTTTTATAAAAAATACTATGAGAATCAATTTTCTGTGAAGTTCTAAGTAATTTTGCTTAAATCTTTGTCGCAATTGATGTATATGACTGGCGACTCCTCGTTTTTCCTTAAAAAAATATTGCAGTTTCTAACCCATACGAATTTAAAAGCATTTTGTTTAGCTATAACTTTAGCTCTCTTAAATAGCAACTTGTTTTCCGGTGTTAGGTGTTCATTCACATATATCCGTTTGTCTTTTCCTCCTAAACCAATATCCGAAGTGTTTACACCCTTCTGTCTTCGTAAACCAGATAATATTGCATCTTTGTGCTTGCGGTCTTTTAATTTAGTTACTATTGGTTTTGGTCTTCCCTGCACTTTTGTGAAGGGTTGGACACGGTGTGCAAATTCAATGTCTTTTTCTTCGAGGTTTACGCCTGCATGTTTGGCAATTTTAATTATTAAGTCAGTTGGACATTCGTTACTAATCTGTGGTAATCCTAACACCTCTAGATTATTTAGTCTAGCAATTTGTTGTTGTTTTCCTATTTGGGAACGGAGTTCCAGTACTTGAGTTTCTGCTGTACTGACGCGGTTTTGAAGCAACTCTAAGTCTTTCTTTATATTGTCATTTTCTAATTGTATATTATTGTAAGATTCTTGAAGCTGAGAAGTATAACTGGTAAGTGCTAATATTTCATTTTTAAGTTCCAGAAAAATAGTTGCCTTTAGTTGTTCGATAAGTTCTTCTTTTACAATCTTTAATTTGTTGTCCAGCATTTCTTCAAGTGACCGAATGAGATTTGAGCAATTTAATGTGTTTGATGGTGTAATGTCCTGTGTAGACTGAGATGCAATCGTATGGGTATCATTAATTCGTTGATTTTTAATCTGTTGTTTTTTCTCTGGTGGAAGAGGCGTGTTAGTGTTGTGGCTTTTGCATTGAGATACTATACAATTAGGACATTTCCAACTAGCTCGGATAGCCGAGTTCTCTCCATATTTTACACATTCCGAATGATAGGTAGAAAAGCAGATCGTGCATTTAATTCGCTTTTGCGTTACATTTATGTTTTCTTTGCAAGCTTCACAAGTGATAGGCATGTTTGTAAATTTAATTCTAACTCCAGAACGCTTATAAGATAAAATAGAAAAATATTTTTTGTTGGTAATGCGAGGATTGAAACAAGGAGCGTCGAATATAACCTGTGCGTCTTACAACGCTAGGCTAACGAATCGTTAATTAAGACTGCGAAATTTCTGTTCTATTAATTATGTTGTTTTTCGGTGTACATTTTATTTATGTCTACCGACGAGTAAAGTTATTATTCACATAAACAGCTGTTATTGCACTTTTATTTTTTAGTTTTTGTGTAATATTGGATAGCACTGCGGCTTATTTTTATTTCACTAGCTAGATTAACTTTAAAACTTCACTTTCACACAAAGTATGTAGTTCTTTATTCACTTTAAATAACTTTTTCATGTACTTATTCGTTAGAGTCTCTTAAAACGATGTGACCTGTTGAACGTCACGCGACCGAGTTTTGATGTTACAATAAGTTCTCGGCTTCTCTTCGTTTGTACCCGTTTGTACCGTGGAGAATTTGGTTTGTATCATCAGTATACACGTGCTAATTGATTTTTACGATAAGTTCTCAGCTTCTCTTCGTTTGTACCCGTTTGTACCGCCGAGAATTTCGTTTCTATTATCATTATTCATACGCTAATTGAATATTACAATAAGTTCTCAGCTTCTCATCGTTTGTACCCGTTTGTACCCCCGAGAATTTCGTTTCTATTATCATTATACATACGCTCATTGAATGTTACAATAAGTTCTCGGCTTCTCTTCGTTTGTACCCGTTTGTACCGTGGAGAATTTGGTTTGTATCATCATAATACACGTGCTAATTGATTTTTACGATAAGTTCTCAGCTTCTCATCGATTGTACCCCCGAGAATTTCGTTTCTATTATCATTATTCATACGCTAATTGAATATTACAATAAGTTCTCGGCTTCTCATCGTTTGTACCCGTTTGTACCGTGGAGAATTTGGTTTGTATCATCATTATACACGTGCTAATTGGTTTTTACGATTAGTTCTCAGCTTCTCATCGTTTGTACCCGTTTGTACCGCCGAGAATTTCGTTTCTTTCATTATTATACATGCGATAATTGATTTTTACCGATAAGTTCTCCGCTTCTCATCGTTTGTACCCCCGAGAATTTCGTTTTTATTATCATTATTCATACGCTAATTGAATATTACAATAAGTTCTCGGCTTCTCATCGTTTGTACCCGTTTGTACCGTGGAGAATTTGGTTTGTATCATCAGTATATACGTGCTAATTGATTTTTACGATAAGTTCTCAGCTTCTCTTCGTTTGTACCCGTTTGTACCGCCGAGAATTTCGTTTCTATTATCATTATTCATACGCTTATTGAATATTACAATAAGTTCTCAGCTTCTCATCATTTGTACCCGTTTGTACCCCCGAGAATTTCGTTTCTATTATCATTATACATACGCTCATTGAATGTTACAATAAGTTCTCGGCTTCTCTTCGTTTGTACCCGTTTGTACCGTGGAGAATTTGGTTTGTATCATCATAATATACGTGCTAATTGATTTTTACGATAAGTTATCAGCTTCTCATCGTTTGTACCCGTTTGTACCGCCGAGAATTTCGTTTCTTTCATTATTATACATGCGATAATTGAATTTTACAATAAGTTCTCGGCTTCTCACCGTTTGTACCGACGAGAATTTGGTTTGTATCATCATTATACGTACGCTAATTGAATGTTACAATAAGTTCTCGGCTTCTCTTCGTTTGTACCCGTTTGTACCGTGGAGAATTTAGTTTGTATCATCATTATACACGTGCTAATTGATTTTTACGATAAGTTCTCAGCTTCTCACCGTTTGTACCCGTTTGTACCCCCGAGAATTTCGTTTCTATTATCATTATACATACGCTAATTGAACGTTACAATAAGTTCTCGGCTTGTCATCGTTTGTACCCGTTTATACCGCAGAGATTTTTTGTAGGAAAAAAAAATTATGTACATATATTTATAAACATGATATTTTTTATTTATGTATATTTTTTCAGTACTAATAATCGTATAATCCTTTACAAACGATATACTTCCAGTTGGCATCAACAAACATGTCGTATTTTTAGATTGGCTGTGAACGATACATATTTTGGCACCCCTATATTACTCACCCCTTAGAGGTACAAACGATTTTAAGAGCGGTACAATCCAATACAAACGATATGCTTCCAATTGGCATCAACAAAAATGTCGTATTTTTAGATTGGCTGTGAACCATACATATTTTCGCACCCCTATATTTCTCACCCCTTTGAGGTACAAACGATTTTAAGGGCGGTACAATCCAGTACAAACGATATGCTTCCAATTGGCATCAACAAAAATGTCGTATTTTTAGATTGGCTGTGAACCATACATATTTTCGCACCCCTATATTTCTCACCCCTTTGAGGTACAAACGATTTTAAGGGCGGTACAATCCAGTACAAACGATATGCTTCCAATTGGCATCAACAAAAATGTCGTATTTTTAGATTGGCTGTGAACCATACATATTTTCGCACCCCTATATTTCTCACCCCTTTGAGGTACAAACGATTTTAAGGGCGGTACAATCCAGTACAAACGATATGCTTCCAATTGGCATCAACAAAAACGTCATATTTTTAGGTTGGCTGTGAACCATATATATATTCGAACCCCCATATTGCTCACCCCTTTGAGGTACAAACGATTTAAAAAGCGGTACAATCCGGTACAAACGTAGTACAATCGAATAGAATTGATAAAAACTAATTATTGTTTAGTCAGATTCTAACTTCACATAGGTACGATCGATTATATATATTGTTTTTTTTTTGGTTTGGGTTAGGTTTGGCGAAAAATATTCCAATGAGTTATTAGATATTATTACTTCATGTATATCAATTTACACAACGACGATAGATTATATATATATTGTTTTTCTTTTGGTTTGGGTTAGGTTTGGCGAAAAATATTCCAATGAGTTATTAGATATTATTACTTCATGTATATCAATTTACACAACGACGATCGATTATATATTATATTGTTTTTTTTTTGTGGTTTCGGTTAGGTTTGGCGAAAAATATTCCAATGAGTTATTAGATATTATTACTTCATGTATATCAATTTACACAACGACGATCGATTATATATATATTGTTTTTTCTTTTGGTTTGGGTTAGGTTTGGCGAAAAATATTCCAATGAGTTATTAGATATTATTACTTCATGTATATCAATTTACACAACGACGATCGATTATATATATATTGTTTTTTTTTTGGTTTGGGTTAGGTTTGGCGAAAAATATTCCAATGAGTTATTAGATATTATTACTTCATGTATATCAATTTACACAACGACGATCGATTATATATATATTGTTTTTTTTTTGGTTTGGGTTAGGTTTGGCGAAAAATATTGTCTTTCAATCTGCTTATCTTTGCATTGTTTTTACTAAATTAGGTAGTTTTAGCTGTATATCTTCCTATTTCTATAGTCTAAGTATAATTAAGTCTTAAATTACAAAATTTCATTTATATATTATAATCACGTTAAAAAAATATTTTTGTCTAAATTTCATCTAAAATTGTTTTAAATACATTGTAATTACGTCTAGTATACATCCCTATACTTTATTTCCCCAATATACACCGGGAAATTGAAAAATCACAATAATACCTAAACCGAGGTTACTTAGGCGATAGAATTCTTCATACATTATTGCATATATAAAAATTTTAAAAATGTCTTTTAATCTGCTTATCATTGCATTGTTTTTACTAAATTAGGTAGTTTTAGCTGTATATCTTCCTATTTCTATAGTCTAAGTATAATTAAGTCTTAAATTAAAAAAATTCATTTATATATTATAATCATGTTAAAAAAATATTTTTGTCTACATTTCGTCTAAAATTGTTTTAAATACATTGTAATTACGTCTAGTATACCTCCCCATACTTTATTTCCCCAATATACACCGGGAAATTGAAAAAAACAGCTAAACGCAACTGATACAGATAACTTAATTAAAGAATTCACCCACATCATTCAAAAAACATGCAAAAGAACACTCCAATCCAAACCTAAATACAAAACACGCATTCCGTGGTGGAATGAGGAACTGGAACACCTCAAAAAACACCTCATAAAGCTCCACCATCGAATTTCCGACCTCAAGCGCAGCAATAAGCCAATAGATAATATATTAAGAGAGAGAGAGGAAGCCAAAGCCTCTTACGTGGAAGCCCTGACAAGGGAATCCACGAAGAGCTTCAGGGACTTTTGCGAGATGCAGGACAAGAAGAACGTTTAGTCCCTGACAAACCGCCTCCTCCAGCGCACTTCGCGCTTCACCCGAGCGAACACGTCACTATAGGTTAGGCGCTCTGTCGCTTCTGGCTGTAGCCTAATGACCACCGCCGCAGATCTCGGTGGGCGCAGCTTGGGCAGCTTGGACTTTTGTGTCCTTTGCTCCGACATCTTTTTCTTGGCCCTTTCCTTCTTTTTAGAGCCCTTCTTTACCACAACGCTCCACTCCTCCGACAGATTGGCCGGAGCAGGTTGCAAAGGACGCGGATCCTGTGGTGCGGCTTGCAGGGACGCACTTGCCTTCTTCTTCTTCCCCTTGGGCTTCTTCTTTTTCCTTTCCTCTATTGTAGGATTTATTTGCGCTGCCAAGGGGGCGGTTGCAGTTCTCGTCTCATCCCGCGAGGGGTGAGCACGTTGCTCCAGCAGGAACCGATCTTCAAATGCCTTCAAACGCACATTCAGCATAGTTCCGACTTGGACCATTATAGCTTGCGCTATCTTCTCCGTACTCCGAACTGAAACAGTGGGAGGTGGTTGAGGTAGTGGCGCTGCTCGTGATTTTTCGAGCTCCAATCTAATTGCTGCCACTTCACTCCTCAGCCCAGTCAACTCCGTTTGCAGCTTTTCATTATTTGCCCGGAGCTCTGTTATCTCCTCTGTTGCAGTGCGCTGTACAAGAGTCTCCACGGCGCCTGCAATTGTACTGGCCGCATCTTTGAGGGCCTTCACAAAACCGCCCTTCAAGTTGCCGGATTTTGTTGCAACCATCTCAATCACCTCCAGTCTATTTTGGATCTTCTCTTGCAGCTCTGTTACTAGTTCGGTCTCCTTATTAGCTCCAGTCGCCTTAGCTGGTAAACGGGGACTGGTTCTGGCCTTGAGTGCCGACACCTCTGCTACCTCCTTTTGGGCTCTGAGTCTGAGCTCTTCCCTTCTAGCCTCGTTGAGGGCTCGCTGAGCTTCCGCCAATCCCACATATTGGCCTGTGGTGGGTGGCCGCCCCCTTGCGCGATTAACCGCAGTTTTCTCATCAGGCCTCTTGTCGTCTTCAGGTGATCCTGACGAACTTCGGTAGCCTTGGGCTGCTATACCTTTACGGAGCACGCTGCCAACACCCTTCGTTGACCTGGTTCTAACTCCGCCAGTCTCTGGCACTACACTAACACCGCCCGTCAAGGGCCTCCTCAAAACTCCACCCTTCTCGGGCAACACTCCGTCTCTCCTTCTCTGCATCTCTCCGCCCTTCCCGGGCTCCACTCCGACATCACAATGACCGCAATTGTCCCCCTCAGAATTCTCGGGACAGCACGCCGTAGCGTGGAGGGATTCCTCAGTGCTTGCACTGATACCCTCCTGGGGTAGTTTCATTTTATTACTGGCCATCATGAAGAAGAAAGGCTGATCCACAGCTTCGGCTTTGTTTAGGGTGTGCTCCTCTAGGCCGTGGGGTTAACGAACCATGGCCATGCCTGCTGGTTTTGGTCCGCGCCGGTTGAACCGGTACCACCAATGTGGTGGAATTCCCCTATCCGCCACCCGGGGGACGCGCGCAGTAGCAGTCCAGCAACTGCCCTGAGTTTTTTCTTAAAGATAGTACAAGCTTATAATCTAATCCTTCGCAAGGCCCTCTTTCAGTGGCGTCGGGGTCTTTTCTTGTGGGTGCGCTCCTCCTCTTCTTCGGAGTCGGTGTCGTGCGACCTCCAGTGTCCGACTGGATATCCTAGTGTCATTAACTTTTGTCGTGTTTCTTCGGTTATTTCACCCATGGCGGCCACCGCCATCTTGGTGATGTACCTATCGATCAGGAGTGCATTCTGTACTTTGTTAGGCTGGGAGACGTGAAAGTTTTCCCCTATTAACTTATTGGCTTTGGCATAAGCTATCGCCGCGTAATAGAGGTCGGGAAAGTGTGCGTGGTTCAGCTCGGGATGTGCATTTGGGTTTCTTACTCTACTGTAAGGGAAATTTGGGTTTTCTCTCTCTGCAGCTTCCCATCTTTGTTTCAGAAGGAGGGCCTGGTCTAACACCGAAGGTATCTCAAGCGCACGGCAAGGGGTTTTGCTGAATTTCTCCATGAACTCTGCTGCCTTGAGAGAGGCGTATGACCAGACCATCCTTAACTGAGCTATTATAGCCCCCTTAATACCGGTTTCATCTGTCATCGTCAAGACCCTGTCTACAATCTCTTGCCGCAGATCGCTCCTGACCGCGATGATACCTTGAAACCTTGTGGCTGTCTTAACTACTCCAGTCCATGAGCCCATGGCCACCAAATCTTGTATGGAAAGGGTGTCAAGAGCTGTGGACCACCGTTTCTGGTAGGCAGCTGAGTTCATGAGGGTCACTGGCTTCGCCAATGTCATTAATGAAGTCAGTACTAGGGCTAAGACACCCTGATCCTTTTCTTCCTGAGGGCGGTCTTTTATTTCGGAGGGAACAGTCGCATTACGTGCTCCCAATATGCATTGGGTTGTAAAGGGTCCCAGGAAGGAAAGGATTGTGGACAACATCAGGTCATCGGTATATTTGACCTCCCCCATTACCAGCTCTCGTCCTCTTTCGTGGCATGGTTTCCAATTGATTATGTATGTGTAATCCTTTTTGCTTCCCACTTGGAGCTCTGTTGTGGTTTCGGGGATTGTGTACACCATGGTGCCCTCTGTGAAATGCTGTTTTTATGTTTTTGTTTGTCCTGTAGCGGCTTCGTTGACATGTGCTTAGGTCGATAAACTTTTTTTTTTTATTTGATTTGTTTTTTTTATTTTTTTTATTTTTTGACGCTGGGGAAACCCATCATGGGGACCCTACCGGCCGTCAATGGGTAGGGTACTGTGAGACTCCTACTCACTAAAACCCACAGCGGAACCCGTCGCCGCAGTGCAATGGGGTGTGCAGGATCGCTTGCGCATTCACTGCAACACCCCTGCGGACAGCCCGTACCCCGCGGGCCTGCCTCGCCTAAACCGGGATGCCCTCGATTCACAGAGCATCCCGACCGCCCCGATGACGTGTAGGGGAGTCAACGAGAGACCCCCCGCAGTAGCTCCTCTAGGGTGGCGGGAGAAGATGCGCGTACCGGCGCCTCCTCTCCCCCAGACGACGGCGACGAAGAGGGTCTGCTAAGGCGTTAGCCTCGCGTTCCCTCTCCGCCGTCTCCTTCAGTGAGATGACGGCCTCGCTGCAGGAGACCATCGCCGACCAGGACCTCTCGTCGCGTAGCATGGCCCCCACCACGCTTCGCAACGACAGGTCTCCACCCACTACCGCCATCAGGGCATGGCGCTGGGGAGCCCAAGCGGCGCATACCGCGAGGGTGTGGTGCGAGGTGTCCTCAGACGCACCACACTCGTGGCACACGGGCAACGGTTCCCGACGCGCAACTTGACACAGATACTTACCAAAGCACCCGTGCCCGGTAAGCATCTGCGTAAACCTGAACGTCAGGACGCCGTGTGGCCGCCTGACCCAGCGAGACAGGAACGGACGAACCGCCCCCACCGTCGCCAGGCCAGCCGCTGGAGTCCCCAGATCTTCCCACAAGCGCCGGATCAGTGCCTCGTCAGCTAGGCGCCTGATCCGAGCGACTCCCTCCCGCGCTGGACGTTCCCCTCGAGCCCGCTCACTCGCCCGAAACTGGTACACTTCGGCGAGCACCTCCGCCTGGAGTTCCCAGGGCGGATCGCGGAGCTTGTTCCGCGTCCGCGCACGCGGCGCAGCGCACTGTCTTCGCGCTGCAGTCCGCGGTAAAACAATATATATATAATCGATCGTCGTTGTGTAAATTGATATACATGAAGTAATAATATCTAATAACTCATTGGAATATTTTTCGCCAAACCTAACCCAAACCAAAAAAAAAACAATATATATATAATCGATCGTCGTTGTGTAAATTTATATACATGAAGTAATAATATCTAATAACTCATTGGAATTGCATATATAAATTTTTTAGAAATGTCTCTCAATTCGCTTATAATTGCATTGTTGTTACTAAATTAAGTAGTTTTAGTTGTATATCTTCTTATTTCTATAGTCTAAGTATAATTAAGAATTCAATTAAAAAATTTCATTTATATATTATAATTACGTTAAAAAAATATTTTTGTCTAAATTTCGTCTAAAATTGTTTTAAATACATTGTAATTACGTATAATATACCTCCCCATAGTTTATTTCCCCGATTTACACCGGGAAATCGAAAAAAGGACCTCCCACCCTTCCCTTTTTTCATTTACTATATAGATTTTAGTGACCTTGGGGATTTAAATTGATTTTATTTTGCTTTTGAAGGGTTTTTTGCGGAATTTTCTTTTACAATCGGTGTTTGCGGGAATAGACAAGCAGATTAAAATCATAAAACCTACAGAATTTTCACACGTAAAAACTTTTACCTAACTCCTTTTAGAATCTAAGTATTCGGAATTTTATTTTAGAATCCTACTGCGTAAGCAACATGTTTGTAATTAGGACACCCACAAAAGCCCCCAAGAGGGCTCAAAGCACAAGCCCCGACTCGAACAGGGAAGTGACCGCCGAGCTAAACGTGACTTATGAAGCGAAACCTTCAACCCCACCGACGGAAGCCTATGTGATCGCTTTAAATAGCAACATAGAAACGGCCGATCCGATAGACATCACTGGATTTACGACGGAGGTGCCTGCTAAGACAGGAACAAAGCCTCAACCAATTCGACTCAAATTTATGACTACACAGAGTCGCGCCGCACCAGCAAAGAAGAAGTTGACAAAAGCGCACTCTTCGCAATCGAACTCAGGGTTAACAGAAGTGGCATCAGCGGATAGAGAGAAGACCTCAAAGTCTCAGGAAACTTTAAATAATCCAATGGAACAAACAAAGATCATAGAAAGAATTCTAGCTGAAACTAAATACCATGTGGACAACATTCGTACTAACCTAAATCAATCTGGAAATATAAAACGCACAATAAAGGAGGAAATACAAAAAAGTACTAAAGGTCTATATAACATGGTGCTGCAGAGCATTAAGATCAATACAGGAGAAGCAGTAAACTACAATTTGGAAATAGATATGCGAAAACCAGAATCGAACGAACACAAACTTAACGAATTATTAGAATATATTAAAACACAGACCACCACATTGGAAAGAACACAACAGGAAATTTTGAGCCTGAGAGGAGAAATGAAAGAGCTTAAGACTAGAAAGACCGACGAAACAAGTAACAAAATACAAGAACCAAAATCGCAAAGAATAGAACAAACTGGGGAAGATCTTCGTAGAGAATTGAAGGAACATAGCGAACTTTTAAGAAACAGCTTTACTAGAATTGAAATGTTAAGTGACAAGATTGATAACCACCAGAAAGTGCTTGAAGGCACTACGTACGCGAGTGTGGCAGCGGGTCGGACAGCGAAGAATCCCCCGCAAACGACAACGCTCCACTCGGTGATTGTCACCTCTACGAACGAAACGGACACTGGCGATGAAGTTATCCAGAAATTTAAAGATGCTGTTAAAGACGAAGAAGGCTGGATAACAGTTGACAAGATTCGGAAAGCAAAGGACAGGAAGGTGATAATTGGATGTAGGAGCAAGGAAGAAATCAAAAAAGTAGCGGAAAGAATTAAAAAGGGTAGCAACCAATTGAACGTAGAGGACATCAAAAATAAGGATCCTCTAGTGGTCTTATACGGAGTCATGCAGTCCTATTCGGACGATGACCTCGTTAAAGCCATTAGAGCGCAAAATCGCCATCTCCTGGGAGACATAAAGCAAGAAGAAGATCGCATGGAGTTACGGTTCAGGAGAAGAGCGAGGAACCCCTTAACTGCTCATGTAGTACTCAGGGTCTCACCCATAATTTGGCAGAGAATGACCGAAGCGGGTGTTGTACACGTGGACATATGGAGGATAAGAGTGGCCGACCAGTCCCCCCTGATACAGTGCTCGCGCTGCCTAGGGTATGGACATGGCCGGAAATTCTGTACCGAAGAAGCCGATGTATGCAGCCACTGTGCTGGACCGCACCTTAAAACTGATTGCCCAGATCTCTCAATCAAATTGACGCCCAAATGTACAAATTGCGAAAAAGCAAAAAATCACAGTGTAGACCATAACGCATTCAGTTCCGAGTGTCCGGTGCGTAGAAAATGGGAGGCCTTAGCCAGGTCTTCCATAGCGTATTGCTAAGGTTGTCCCGGGGTATACAATAGTGCAAGCAAATCTCCAGAGAAAGAAACTCGCTACGATAGAGTTGCTGACCGAATCCCGCAAACAAGGAATTTCTATCGCATTGCTTCAGGAGCCGTATGTGGGAAACGCTCGAGGTATGAGGAGCTACCGGGGTACAAGGATATATCAGAGTATTCACCAGGGAGAAGGCACAGTCAAGGCCGCTATAGTGGTCTTCGACTCGAATATTAAGGTTACGCAGTACCCGCAATTTACTACAGACAATGTGGTAGTTGTGGGAATTCGAGATGGTGACACAACAATTACCCTGCTGTCCTATTACTTCGAGCCGAATTTACCCATAGAGCCATACCTAGAGCATATAGAAAAAGTAGTCAAAGAAATGGGTCATAATAAAATGGTCATAGGTGGGGACGCTAACGCAAAGAGTAGCTGGTGGGGAAGTATAACTGATGACAATAGGGGCGCTGAAATGGTTTCAGCTCTCGACGATATGGGGCTCCATGTGCTGAATGTTGGGAACACTCCAACTTTCGACACAATAAGAGAAGGGATAAGATATAGCAGCCATGTCGATGTAACGGCCTGTACTTCGAACATGATTAACAGGATACAAGAATGGAGAGTAGATGAAAACCTCACGGGCTCGGACCATAACGGGATTGTATTTAAGATAGAAGGGAAAAAATCAACGACTAATAACATTATAAGAACCACTAGAAAATACAACACTCGCAAGGCAAATTGGCCTCAGTTTCATGAGAAACTGAACCAATTTAACATGGAACAAAAATTAACAATAGCTGAAATAAATAATATTAACAGTAAAGGTGAAATAGAGTCAATAGTAGAAAAATACACAAAATCAATAGAACAAGCATGCAATCATTCAATACCTAAAAAGAAAAATACTGAGAAACTTACCATCCCGTGGTGGTCCGACGAGCTCGAAGAGATGAAACGGAAGACCTCCACACTGAAGAACAGGATCCGCTGTGCAGCACCAATTCGTAGAGCGAAAGTAGTCGATGAGTACCTGAAACAGAAAGAAAAATATGAAACAGCAGCAAAAGCGGCCGAAGTCGGGAGCTGGAAGGAATTTTGTGGGAAGCAGGATAAGGAAGGAGTGTGGCAAGGAATATACAGAGTGATCGGCAGAGTTACTAAACGAGAAGAAGATCTCCCATTGCAACATGAAGGAAAGCTTTTGGACGCGAAGGGTTCTGTCAAGTTGTTGGCCGAAACTTTCTATCCAGAAGGACCTTATTTCAAATGATAATGCAGATCACAGTAATATTAGAGAAATGGCAGCAACAATAAACGATGGGACACCAAAGTGATACCTGGGATCCACCGTTCACACAAGCGGAGCTCTCGATGGCTGTAAATACATTTAACGCGAAAAAGGCCCCCGGAGGTGACGGCTTAACGGCCGACATTTTAACAAGCAATTGAAAATGACCCAGAACTCTTCCTAGCAATAACAAATAAATGCCTGAAACATAGTCATTTTCCAAAACCATGGAAAGAAGCCACGGTAGTTATTCTCAGGAAACCGGGAAAGACCAATTACACCGAACCGAAATCATATCGACCGATCGGTCTACTACCTGTGCTAGGGAAAATTTACGAAAAAATGATAGTTGCCAGATTAAAATACCATCTCGTGCCAAGGATTAGTACTCGCCAATATGGATTCATGCCCCAGAAGAGCACCGAAGACTCCCTCTATACTCTTATGCAGCATATACATGCTAAAATAAAACAGAAACGCATAATAACTTTAGTTTCACTAGATATAGAGGGAGCCTTCGACAGCGCATGGTGGCCGGCCATAAGAGTCCGATTGGCTGAGGAAAGATGTCCCATTAACCTGCGAAGAGTAGTGGATAGTTATTTGGAAGATAGGAAGGTGAAAGTTAAATACGCCGGTGAAGAATATGATAGGGGAACCACTAAGGGATGTGTACAAGGCTCCATAGGTGGCCCCTTATTGTGGAATCTTTTGCTTGACCCACTATTGCATGAACTGGAAAAGAAGGGTCACTACTGCCAAGCGTTCGCGGACGACGTCGTACTGGCGTTCGACGGACAGACAGCCCTAGAAATAGAAGAACGAGCCAATGCCGCACTCCAACATGTTCAAGAGTGGGGTGTCATAAATAAATTAAAATTCGCAGCGCATAAAACTACCGCAAGAAACAATTACCCGTAAACTAAAATATGACACACCACGCCTGAACATGGGGGGGATCGACATTGGCATGTCCGATGAAATGAAGATTCTAGGACTGATTATCGATGCAAAACTGACCTTTAGCTCCCACGTCAGTTATATCTGCCGGAAAGCTTTAAATCTTTATAAACAATTGTCTCGTGCTGCCAAACTCCAGTGGGGTCTGCAGCCCGAGATAATTCGCACTATTTACTCAGCCGTGGTCGAGCCGACAATACTTTATGCCGCGAGTGCTTGGGCATCGGCAACAGAAAAATTGGGAATAAGGAAGCGTCTGGATGTTGTGCAGAGAGGCTTCGCTCAAAAGATTGTCAAGGCATACAGAACAGTATCCCTAAATTCAGCCCTTCTGCTCGCGGGCCTGCTTCCTCTCGACATAAGAGTCAGGGAAGCAGCCTCGCTTTATATTATAAAGAGAGGTTATTCCACGAGAATAGTAGGCGATAGGGAAATCGAGACGCAGATGCCCTTCGGAAGCTGTAATCACCCGGCGGAATATGAAGAATTACAGTTCACATGCCTGGGGGACGAGGCAGAACTGAACCAATACAACACCACAGGCCTAAATATCTATACAGATGGCAGTAAGTTGGAGGGGAAAGTAGGCGCGGCATTGTCTCTGTGGGAAAATGGCACGGAAATAAGTACCCGAAAACTTAAATTGGATCAGTACTGCACCGTCTACCAGGCAGAACTTCTAGCGCTAAAGGAAGCCACTGAACAGGCAATAAATAGAGGCGCCGAAGAAACTAATGTGTACTGCGATTCCCTATCGGCCTTAGAAACTGTAAAAAAAACACCACATCCCTACATCCTCTGGCCGTAGAAACAAGGACAAATATCAAGAGAATAACGGAGGGAGGAGGACGGCTCCGTCTTTTTTGGATTAAGGCCCACGCAGGGATAGAAGGAAATGAGCGCGCCGATATTATGGCAAAAGCGGCAACGAACCTCAAAACTAAATCTAATTATAGCAAATGCCCAGTCTCATTCGTCAAGCGACAAATCCGATTGGGAGTCGCTTGACGAATGGAACCAGAGGTATAAAAAGTGGTGAAACAGCGGCCACCACCAAAGTATTTTTCCCGGATGCAATAACCACCTACCCAATATTAAAAGAAATAAAACGGACCCGTGATAACCCAATTGATGACCGGACACGGCGGGTTCTCCTTTTACTTGAATAGATTCAAGTGCAAGGACAGCCCGTCGTGCGACTGCGACCCGGATGTGGACCAAACTTCTTTACACATAATAACTAGCTGCCCCAAGTACCTGAGAGAGAGACTAAATTTGGAGTTAGAAATAAATTATGATGTAAAGGAGGAAAACTTGAATAAAATATTACAGGACAATACAATTAGAGATAAGTTTTTGGAATATTGTAAAAAATTAGTAAAAATAACAGTAAATCAAAATAAATAGAATACAAAATGTTTAGTTTAGTTGATTGATTAGTTTTATTATTAAAAAAAAAAAAAAAAAACGTTTTGAGAATTATAAGTAATAGTCGATAAGAGTTATTAGTTCATAAGAGCTATTAGTTGTAAGTTGATATGATTAAAGAAAAGTTAAGTATAATATTTTTTAAGTAATATAAAATGTAAAGAAATACATTTATATCCTGGCACAAAATACAAGTCAATAAAGATGATATGTAAACAAAGTCTCTGATTATGTCAGAGGTATTAGAACAGAAAAAAAAAAAAAAAAAAAAAAAAAAAAAAAAAAAACTCATTGGAATATTTTTCGCCAAACCTAACCCAAACCAAAAAAAAAACAATATATATATAATCGATCGTCGTTGTGTAAATTGATATACATGAAGTAATAATATCTAATAACTCATTGGAATATTTTTCGCCAAACCTAACCGAAACCACAAAAAAAAAAACAATATAATATATAATCGATCGTCGTTGTGTAAATTGATATACATGAAGTAATAATATCTAATAACTCATTGGAATATTTTTCGCCAAACCTAACCCAAACCAAAAGAAAAACAATATATATATAATCGATCGTCGTTGTGTAAATTGATATACATGAAGTAATAATATCTAATAACTCATTGGAATATTTTTCGCCAAACCTAACCCAAACCAAAAAAAAAAACGATATATATATATATATATATATATATATATATATATATATATATATATATATATATAATCGATCGTCGTTGTGTAAATTGATATACATGAAGTTATTATATGTAATAACTCATTGGAATATTATTCGCCAAACCTAACCCAAATCATAAAAAAAAAACAATATATATATATAATCGATCGTCGTTGTGTAAATTGATATACATGAAGTAATAATATCTAATAACTCATTGGAATATTTTTCGCCAAACCTAACCCAAACAAAAAAAAAAAAAAAACAATATATATATAATCGATCGTCGTTGTGTAAATTGATATATATGTAGTAATAATATCTAATAACTCATTGGAATATTTTTCGCCAAACCTAACCCAAACCAAAAAAAAAACAATATATATATAATCGATCGTCGTTGTGTAAATTGATATACATGAAGTAATAATATCTAATAACTCATTGGAATATTTTTCGCCAAACCTCACCCAAACCAAAAAAAAACAATATATATAATCGATCGTCGTTGTGTAAATTGATATACATGAAGTAATAATATCTAATAACTCATTGGAATATTTTTCGCCAAACCTAACCCAAACCAAAAAAAAAAACAATATATATATAATCGATCATCGTTGTGTAAATTGATATACATGAAGTTATAATATCTAATAACTCATTTGAATATTTTTCGCCAAACCTAACCCAAACCACAAAAAAAAAAAGCAATATAATATATAATCGATCGTCGTTGTGTAAATTGATATACATGAAGTAATAATATCTAATAACTCATTGGAATATTTTTCGCCAAACCTAACCCAAACCAAAAGAAAAAACAATATATATATATATATATATATATATATATATATATATAATCGATCGTCGTTGTGTAAATTGATATACATGAAGTAATAAATTCTAATAACTCATTGGAATATTTGTCGGAGATAAAAAGTATTTAATTAAATTTTTAGCATTTCCTTCCGTGCTTTAAGAGTAAGTCAATTGACAGTCTTATTATCAAGTGACTCCCACTACGACATTCGACTATAAAAACAAAGGACAAACCATTTCGTTGGGTCAGAAGCTGTTTGACTGCGAACACGGCACTTTCCTATAAGTGCTCTGACTTAACCGTGTTACCGAACAGGTAATCTCTGTATTACTTATATAATTATAATAATGATTATGATAATTATTTATATAATCGTTTTATAGTTAAAATACTATATAAATTATTACATTATAATTGTTGTGATCATTGAATTCTTGACATATTGACTAAAATATTTAGATATCAGTTAGATTTTTATTATTAAATATAATATTAGAATAATAATTAATTATTTAAAGGTATTTTCAGTAACTATAAGTAACTTTTGCTTTACCCATGAATTAATTTACAATTATTTTTGTTATCTATCAATATGGTTATATCTTTGTTTATTAAATAATCAGTTGATTAATATTTCTATAAATAAATATGTACTTTAAAAATAGCTGTCTGTTCTTTTTTTTATCCATCTCTCACATCAGAAGTGGGATTCGAACCCAAAACTAAAACTACACTCATATTCTTTATGTAACAGGTTACGCGACACAACAAGGCTATGTCTTCCGGCGAACGACCGTTGAGCCCTGCTAATTTCAACCATCACAGACCGCCAGGTCCTCGGCCATCGGAGATCAACCCTTCTATATCTCCAATACTGGGGCGAACATGTCCATCGCCAGCCCGGTTATCAGCCGTTGAAAACGAAAAGGCACGAGAAGATACGTCGGGAGGCGGCAGCGAATCAAGGACAGGTTTCATTCCAGTACAATTTATGCAAGACATGATGACTAAACTAATCGAAACCACTGCCCGTGCTTTTAATCCAACTGATAGTAGGGTCAATTTTCGAAACAGAAACCCTGATAGTATCTATGTACCTAGTTTCGACCCAGATGACAGGACTGACACTATACAAATCTGGTGTCGTAACATAGACGACCTTAAAACCGAATATCAACTAACGGATCGAGAAACACTAAACCTCGCTCGAAAACATCTGAAAGGACGTGCATCTGATTGGGCGCGTCGAAATTACACTACAATTGCATCTTGGACTGAACTTAAAGATAGACTATCTGAAACTTTTGCAGACGAAGTACGTTACTATGACGATCTAATGACATTCCTGGACTATACCAGCGATCAAGCCAGCAGCCTTACGGAGTACGCGAGCCGAAAATGGGAGCTAGCAAGGAAAGCTATTGGCGTGGAGATGACTGAGCAACGTATGGTGGAAGCCGTACTTACAGGTATGTCAGATAACCGTATTCGTTCCGACTTGCTACGACTCACACCTAATAATTTACCACACCTTATTCAAAGTCTTAACTCGTATAAGTTAAAAAGAACTAAGAACGAGCCTGATCACCAAATTCCAATAAAACGCTTTAAGCGAGATCTCGACAGCATTAAAAATAGACGTTATCTCAAGTGCTCTAAATTTGGTCATTTGTATAAAAATTGTCGTTCAACTATTAATAATACTATTACTACTAAGCCTCCCAGCTCTTCGAACCCTCCGATGACTTGTACATTTTGCAACAAACGGGGACATACATTTGAAAATTGCTTCCAACGCCAAAATAAGAAAACTAAGGACTTAAAACCAACAAATGTAAATGCTTTGTTCCAAAATAAATGTAATTTACAAATTGACGGGCGTAACTTCAACTTTTTATTAGATAGTGGTGCAGAATGTTCCCTCATGCGTAATAGTGTTGGAGATTCAGTATCCGGGAAAATCCTCTTTGAAACTTTGACACTAAAAGGCATAGGGGAAAATGCTTTCTCATCTTCTCGTAAGAAAATTTGTATGGTTCATATTGATGACTTAAATATTGAATTAGAATTTGTTCTCGTCCCGGATACATATATTCAGTACGATATTTTACTTGGTATCAATCTTTTCAAAATACCAGATATCCAGGTGACGTTTACTAATGGTGGTATAGCCATTTCCCGAAAGTCTTATAATATAAATGTTATAAATATTTGTACACTTAATGTCGATTCTCTATTAATTAATAAAAGTTTAGAACCATGTTTTTTACAAAAGTTACGCAGAATCCTAAGTGATTATCCTAATTTATTTACAAGTGGTAATAAAGTTTCTAAAGTGACTACGGGTGAACTAAATATTCGATTGAAAGACCCTAGCAAAGTAGTACAAGGGCGGCCGTACCGTCTGGCCCCTTCAGAGCGCGAAGCTGTAAAAACTATAATTAAAGATCTTAAGGATCATAATATTATACGCGACAGTAACTCCCCGTTCTCCAGCCCTGTCTTATTAGTACGAAAGAAATACGGCAGTGACCGTATGTGTGTAGACTTTCGTGAACTAAATAGTAACACTGTCCGTGAAAAGGTCCCGCTCGACCACCGGGAGCGAACGGACGCGCTTACTGCGTCGGAAACAGTGCTCCGGTCGAAGAAACGGCGTTTAAAAGTTGTAAAAATTGCTAAATAATAGAAAAAGGACTAAAAATTTGCCAAATACTGTGTAATATAGTGTGTTAAGTGTCAAAGTATATATATATAACAATAGTGACAAAAATTGTGCACGGAATTAGCCAAAATTTGGCAAAAAGTGAAAAACTTAAACATTTTTAAACTGTTTTCGTGTGCGGCGCTCGATCTAGATCGATAACGTACTATTTTTATTTGTGATTTATAAAGTGCTCATGAAGACCTATCCAACGACACCACTCCCGGATTTTTTGGACAACGGGAAGTGGTTAGAAAGTTCAAAAAAACAAGTTGGACAAAATCTCTCTTTCCGTAACGGAGAGAGATAGAGACTTCAAACCACCACCACTAGAGAGAGCTGGACGCGCCGTCAACAAAAAGGTATCGTGCATAGCCGTAACTTAATCAGTGACAAAGATATAGACATTTTAAAATTTTGAAAAATATCGACAAACTTCAGAAGAAGATTAAAAATTATCTTCAGTGACGACCCCTGTAAAAAATTGAAAAGTGAAGAGCAACTCTCCTAGTTTTTTATAGTGAAAACCGCAATAAAATCCGTTCAGTAGTTTTTAAGTTATTAAGCAATCTAGATCATAAGCTATAAGGAAGATACATTCCATATTGGAATTTTATTTAGGATATAATTAAATTAAGGTAGACCAAGACATATAGCGAGCCATTTACACTCGCTATAATATAATTTATTGACTATTTTGACAAGAGCCGGACTCCACCATGCACAGGACACCTCCCAAAACCTCCAAACCGCCAGCGGTCAAGGCGAAAACCGCCAAACCGCAAGCCACGTCAAGCAAAAATATAAAAATGACAACAACCGCATCACCGTCGCCATCAAAAATACCAACACCATCACCTCTACCTCTACCCTTGCCCCCCTACGTAACTAAACTAATCAGACAAAAATCCGAAATTTTTCCCCCTAAAGAGGTAATAGACAACAAAGCAGAAGCACATTACAATAATATTTTGGAATCAATCAACGAATCAAAAAATATAAAAACGTCAATAAAAGAAAACATAGCCTTTCATGCAGAAAAACTGCTCCACATGGTAGATGCCATAAACTGCGACATGACAGACCTAGCTAGAGAGGTACTAGCGGCGGTAATGGAACGACTTGACCAGGCACCTGAAAAACAAAAACAGACCCAAGAAATGATGGAACTAAACACAAAGATGGAAAAACTAATGGAACAAGTAATAACACAAAACTTGGACTTAAAAAAGGAAATCTCGGAGTTAAAGGCAGAAATAAAAGAAATAAAGGAGGAAAAAAGCAATACCGGACTGATGGAGGAACTACAAAAACAGAACATAGCAACCGAAAAAACCCAAAAACACCTACAAGAAATAAAAGAAGACATCAAGGCAATACCAATCTCACAACCAATACCAACAGAGAAGCCAAATACGACACCAGAATCCTTTTTTTTTTTTTTTTTGTTATCGCTGGGGAAACCCATCATGGGGACCCATGGGGAGAAGATGCGCGTACCGGCGCCTCCTCTCCCCCAGCCGACGGCGACGAAGAGGGTCTGCTAAGGCGTTAGCCTCGCGTTCCCTCTCCGCCGTCTCCTTCAGTGAGATGACGGCCTCGCTGAAGGAGACCATCGCCGACCAGGACCTCTCGTCGCGTAGCATGGCCCCCACCACGCTTCGCAACGACAGGTCTCCACCCACTACCGCCATCAGGGCATGGCGCTGGGGAGCCCAAGCGGCGCATAACGCGAGGGTGTGGTGCGAGGTACGACACCAGAATCCTACTCTCATGCATTACAGCAAGCTTCACTACCAAAACCGACCCTCTGCCTACTCGTAGGTACGGACAACGTAAATGACACTAGTGAAGAAGTGCTAACGAAAATCAAAACCACGTTGAATGCTAGAGATACAGGACTTCAGATATCAAAGCTGAGGAAGGTAAAAGACCAGAAAGTGCTCATTGGTTGTGAGAAGAAAGAAGACATAGATAGCATACGGGAGAAACTTGAAACGAAAAAATTCAAAGTAGAGATAAAAGCAAACAAGGACCCTTTAGTAATTATTAGAAATGTAAATAATAGTAACACGGATGAAGATATACTGCAGTCATTAGAGAAGCAAAATTACGAACTTTTAAATCACATCCCGACAGACGAATACAGGATGAAGGTCAGGCATAGACGAAGGGCGAGAAACCCGATGGAGACACACGTAGTACTGGAAGTATCCCCAAAGGTATGGAGAGCATTAACAACAGCTGGGAAGGTCTACGTGGATATCCAAAGGGTGCCCGTGTTCGACTTGTCCCCACTGGTGCAGTGCTCGCGCTGCTTGGCATTCGGACATGGGAAAAAATGGTGCACAGATAGTATAGATCTGTGCAGCCATTGTTCAGGACCTCATCTCCGCACCGAATGTCCAAGCTTGCAGGCAGGCGAGGAGCCTACATGCAAAAACTGCCTGCACGCAAAATGCGCCAAAACCGATCACAACAGCTTTGACGTGCACTGCCCAGTGAGGAAAAAGTGGGATGACTTAGCCCGCTCGAGTGTAGCATACTGCTAAAAACACAAATAGAAGCCCACACATACGCATCAGACCCAATAAAGCAGGTATAATGAATATACCACGGAGCAAGATTATCTTGCGGGGGTTTAGTGCTCCCACCGCTGCCGGTTATGCTCCGGCAGAAAATAATTATCTCCGTTGCGGTCCCCGTAGCCCAGTCCAAGTGAAACCATTTATGTACTTGTTTTCATGTTTATTTATTCTCATAAGCACACAATAACTATAACAAGCACTTATACATTATATCTATGTACAATATTATAAAACTAACGATAATCAATGTTACACCAACGTGTTTCGTGCCTCTCGAGCGACTGATGTCTGAGCTCTGCGGGGAAGCGAGGGACGGGTAGCGGCGAATATAGCCGCACGTTTCCGAGCTCGCCCGCGGGGCGCGTTCGTAACTCAGTGGCGATTTGCGTTTGTCGCCACACCACCCCCCCACGGAGAGAGATAGGTTATAGTCAGTCCTTGATCCTGAATTTTACGCGCCTGCCGGATCGTGTGGTATAAGGCTGAAAAGTTGGCGCTGATGGTACTAACGGTAAAGATGGCGTAGCAGTTGCTGGTGATACTGTTGACGGGTTTGCGGGTGCGAAAGCTGGTTTTACCCGGTCTACGCTGACCGTGACTGGTTTGCCTTTGATGGAGATCTGTATGGTTTTTTTATCAGCAGCGCGGTCTAGGACTTCATAAGGGCCGGTATACGGAGGCTGTAAAGGTCGTCGGACGGCATCTTCTCGCAAGAAAACGTGCGACGCGTTTGCCATATCCTTAAAAATGAACGATGCACGTTCGCCATGACGCGACGATGGACAGGGCCGCAAGGATGCCATGTGACGTCGGAGTCTGTCCACCAGGTCTGTAGGATCTCGGGGTTCAGTAGATGCGGGCCCTAGGATCTCACCAGGGAGACGTAGCGTTTCACCATAAACTAATTCGGACGCTGTAGCCTTAAGATCTTCTTTGAAGGCGGATCGCATGCCCAACAGTACGAATGGAAGAGCTTTAATCCAAGAGTCACCACCATGGCACATTAATGAGGCTTTGAGCTGGCGGTGGACGCGCTCAATCATTCCATTCGCGCTGGGATGATATGCTGTCGTCCGGATACGTTTGATGGCGAAGGTGTGCGCAAGTCTACGGAAAAAATCCGATTCGAATTGAGCGCCGCGATCTGTTGTTAGAATGGTAGGTACGCCAAATCGTGGTACCCATTCTCTCGTGAACGTGTTGGCCACTTCCTCCGCCGTGATAGTGCGCATGGGCCAAACTTCGGGCCACCTGGTCAAACGATCTATGGCTGTTAAGCAATAACGATATTCATCGGAGATTGGTAACGGTCCAATTATATCCAGATGAACATGCGCAAAACGACCGGATGGTGTGCCGAAATCTCCCAGAGGGGCAGAGTTGTGTCTCGATACCTTGCTGCGCTGACATGCGTCACAAGTGCGAGACCAGTTCCGGCAGTCTTTATTGATTGAAGCCCATACGTAGCGTTCAGTTACGAGGCGTGAAGTTGCTCGAATACCAGGATGACTCAAGTTGTGGAGCTTATCGAACACCCTGCGTCGAAGTTGTGGAGGAACAAAGGGACGTGGTTTAGCAGTGGACGTGTCGCAAATCAAAGTTATGTTGGTACCAGGCAAATCTACCTTTGTTAACTTGAGGCTGGAACCGTTATGTAGTAGCTTCGCTAGTTCTTCGTCAGACTTCTGAGCTTTGGACAGATCCTCGTACTCTTGCTCCAACGAAATAGCGTCTATTCCCGACATTGCATCGGCAACCACATTGTCTTCTCCTTTTATATATTTAATATCCGTCGTAAACTGGCTGATAAAATGGAGCTGATTAAGTTGTGCGGGAGCCAGTTTCTCTCGACGCTGTACGAATGCGTACAGCAATGGTTTATGGTCTGTAAAAATAGTCGCATGTTGAACCTCAAGAATGTGCCGGAAATGCTGTACGCTTTCATACACCGCCAGGAGTTCGCGATGGTAAGCAGGCCATTGCGACTGCTTGGGCGTCAGCTTCCTGCTGAAAAACGACAGCGGGCACCACTGTCCATTGATCAGCTGTTGTAGACAGGCGCCTATATGCACGCTAGACGCATCTGTAAAGAGGCCCAAAGGTGCGTCATTTACAGGATGCGTGAGTAATGTCGCGTCCGATAGACTCCTCTTGCAGTCTTCAAAAGCTTGCAACAACTCGGTCGTCCATGTGTATGGTGTAGAGCCCTTGCCATTAATCTCGACCAGGGCGTCTACCAGTTGCGCTTGAAACTTAGCGGCATGAGGGATGAAACGGCGATAGTAATTTATCATGCCGAGGAAACGTCTCACGCCTTGCACGGTGTTAGGAGGGGGAAAATCTAATAGTTTTTGAACGCGATCCAGAGGAGGACGCGTACCGTTAGCGTTGATGAGATATCCGAGGAATATAACCTCGCTGGCACCAAGAATGCACTTAGATGGATTGATTACTACCCCGTAATCCTGTAGGCGTTTGAAGAGGACACGCAGATGCTTTCTGTGGCTGTCCTCGTCCGCTGAAAAAACGAGCACATCGTCGATATAAGGAAAACAGAAATCGAGACCCCGTGTGACCTCGTCGATAAACCGCTGGAAGGTTTGACCAGAATTGCGGAGCCCGAAGGTCATGAAAGGAAACTCGAAGAGGCCAAACGGGGTAACGATGGCGATCTTCGCGATATCCTCTTCAAACACGGGTATCTGATGGTACGCTTTCACTAGGTCAATAGTGCTGAAAACTGTGGCTCCAGCGAGGCTGCAGGCGAAGTCGTTGATATGCCAAACGGGGTATCTATCCGGTATGGTCCTAGCGTTCAATGCGCGATAATCGCCGCAAGGACGCCAAGTGTTGTCTTTTTTGGGTGTCATGTGCAGAGGTGACGACCAAGCACTCTTAGAGGATCTTGCTGTGCCGCATCGTACCATGTCTTCAAATTCTTTTTGGGCAGCAGTAAGTTTTTGAGGTGCCAGGCGACGGGGGCGACACGACACAGGAGGTCCGTCTGTAGTTTTTATGTAATGCACAGTGCTGTGCTTGATGATTCTAGGTAGGCCAGGTGGGCGCGTGATATCGGGAAACTCAGTAAGTATATGCGTATATCTAGAGTCATTAGAAACAACGGCCTTGACACTGGTTTGACTGGAAGTTGCGATGGAAGCAGGAGATAAGCTGGTGCTACCATCTATGAGACGCTTGCTTCGGCAGTCCGGTAATAAGTTGTAATGACTTAAAAAATCGGAGCCGATAATCGGTGAGTCAACTTCCGCAACGACGAAATTCCAATGGAAATCCCGGCGCAACCCTAGATTAAGATGCAACGATATGTTGCCATAGGTCTTAATAGAGCTCCCATTTGCAGCGCTAAGATCAAAACCTGTAGAAGCACGACGATCTTTTACGAGACGTTTAGGAAAACAACAGAGGTCCGAGCCAGTATCCACTAGATACTGGAGTTTCGAACGTTTATCTGTGACGAAAAGTCGGCGGCTTTGATGAGAACAATCAGTCGCCGCGTTTACTGACTGTTGTTGCTGTTTTCCGACAGCGTGGTGTTAGGCTGCCAGCTGCAAGGTTTGGTACATTTGGTTGCCTTGCTATTGAATCTTTTATGGTACCAACACATACCTGAATTTCCAGGTGAGGCACCGCGAGAACGCTGTCTAGAGATAGATTTGCTGCGTGAGCGACCGCGAGGACGCGAGGTGGAAAGAGATGCAACTTGCTTGCGTAAGTCTTCCACTGTCTTTACTAAGGCGTCCAGTACCGATGATGCTGGTGCTGGCATCGCACAGGAGTACACCTGGTTGCTGGGGCCTGATATCTCTGTGACCTTATCGGCAAGGTGTGCTAATTTGTCCAGACTCAGTTCAGTTTGAGAGGCTAAAATAGCCTGAATATTCTGAGGAAGACGGCGCATCCAAAGCTGGCGCAAAATATTTTCATCAGTAAGGTTATTACCAGCTAGCGAACGCAGATGCCGGAGAAACTGCGATGGTCGCCTGTCTCCGAGCTCTTCTACACTAATAAGCTGACGTACCCGCTGTTCTTCTGACATTGAGAGACGTCTAACTAATTCGTCTTTAACTTTTTGATACCTTTGGCCTATGGGTGGGGGTCTGGTAATTATATCCTCGATCTCCCCAGCTAGCCTTTGATCTAATCTTCCTATAACATAATTGTATTTTGTGTTATCAGCATCAATGCCTGCGATTTCAAACTGTGCTTCTACCTGCCCGAACCATACTGCTGGTTTGTCAGGCCAGAAAGGTGGCAACTTAACGGCGACCTTGCACACTGCTTGTTCTTCAGATTTGGGTGATGATTCAGATGCAGACCCAAAGTTAGTCAATTTCTGCTGAAGAGCTGCATTCTCCAATGTCAGCTGTTGCAATCGCTGTTCTAAATCCTTGTCAGCCATTATACCACACAACCAAGCAGGACAAAACAACAAGACAAAAAGAAAACAAGGTTAAAAGTTTAGGTAGCTGTTGGAGAGGTGCAGAGGCAAAGACAATCACACGGTTAATATAAAGGTAAGCAACCCATTAATATGAATTATGCACAATAATAATTAATTTAAAACACAAAAAAAAACTTAAAAAAAAATGTACATAGGTATCTTCACGAAGCAAAAACTTAATACTGACAAGCAATGTTGAATCCGAGCATTGTTTAGAAAGTAAAATTTTAATGATAATACAAAATAGTATTATTTTATCAAACACACAAGAATTCAGAAATAAAGTTTAGTAGTACATGCTTAAATGTAACCTTAACCCTAATTAGTATAATAGAAATTAAGTTCTTATTTTTATGGTGTAATAATCAAAACCAACTTTATAAGTAACACATACAATATTAAAGGCAGTAAACATAGACAATATTCTTTAAATGTATATAAAAAAAAATGTATACTTATGGTAATGTAAAAACCTTAATATTTTTATTAAAATGAACAAGTTATGAAACAAAACAAATGAGCCTTAATATGTTAAAAGTTAAAACCATAGAAATGCAATCTAAGAAACCTGACATAGGTATATGCGAATATAATACAAATATCGTTTTAAATATACTAATATGTTTTAAATATACTAATATATATTATGTAAGGCAATCAGCTGAAATTATAATTTTCACACAAAACACAATGCAAAGTCAGAGTTTTTGTAATAGGTAGAACAATGTTTATGCGTAAATAGCAGGATTACTCGTAGAATTACTTACGTAAATAGAGTTCACACTTTTGATTATAGGTAGTCCGAACTATACGATAACTATCGATGCACTCTTTGACGTAGATCCACAGATTATGACGACTAGGACGACACGTTGACAGTTCGTAGGAACGTAATCACATTAGGTTATCTGTGCTTGTGGCATTAACATTATCTGTGACTCGATCGATAAAAACGGGCAACACTCGTTGAGTTTTCTGCTACTCATCGCTAGGTGGCGCTAGATGGCGGGTACATGGTTGTGCCGTCGTTGCTATGGGCGTTGTCCCATATTGAGAACTCGCTCGCACTCGCAACTTTGTTGTTCCTCGGACTGGCTTGGACGATTAATGCATTATTGGAAGTCGTGGTCACCAATGCGGGGGTTTAGTGCTCCCACCGCTGCCGGTTATGCTCCGGCAGAAAATAATTATCTCCGTTGCGGTCCCCGTAGCCCAGTCCAAGTGAAACCATTTATGTACTTGTTTTCATGTTTATTTATTCTCATAAGCACACAATAACTATAACAAGCACTTATACATTATATCTATGTACAATATTTTAAAACTAACGATAATCAATGTTACACCAACGTGTTTCGTGCCTCTCGAGCGACTGATGTCTGAGCTCTGCGGGGAAGCGAGGGACGGGTAGCGGCGAATATAGCCGCACGTTTCCGAGCTCGCCCGCGGGGCGCGTTCGTAACTCAGTGGCGATTTGCGTTTGTCGCCACAATCTTACCCCGCAGCAAGAGTCGAAAAAGCAAATAGTTACCCACCACCGAAAACATGCAAATCAAACCTGAAGATGTGAGGAGCAAAGTTAACCAGATGGCACAAACACACCACAATAGAATAAGTACAAAATAAGTAAAAAACCAAACAGTACTGAAAAAAAAAAACCAGTACTTATCTCTAGTAAATAAAAATAATAAGTAAGAAACTAGTATATTAAAATATTGTTAAGCAATATTTCATAAGTATACTTAAGAATGCAAAAGCAATTAGTAATAAATAGGCACTTACCTTCAAAATGTACTCTCTGGCAAAAACACCTGTCATAAACATATAATAATTATAAAAATAAGTAAATTAGAAAGTAATACTATAAATACAATAAGAATAAAAGCAAGCAATATAGTATGTAAGAAATGTAAATAGAAATAATAATAGTAGTAAATACCTATACCCAAATAAAAAAAAAAAAAAAAACACTCGGTAATAAAAATTGTACAACTGTATATAATAGTAAACTTAAGAGTAAAAATTGAATGTAAAGAACAAAAGTTCTCCCCAAACTAAAAAACTAAGGTAATACGAAATGTAAAAAATCACCTAAAATTTAAGTCTTCAAAACTGTAAACAAATCAAAATTGTAAAAAAGGTTTCTGATCATCACGTCAGAAGAGTTCCGGCTTTTTTATTAAAAAAAAAAAAAAAAAACACTGTCCGTGATCACTTCCCCCTTCCTCTTATCGATGACCAAATTTGTAAATTAGCCAAAGCAAAATATTTTACAATTTTAGACATGACTGCCGGTTTTCACCAAATTCCCGTAGCTAAAGATTCTATTGAAAAAACTGCCTTCGTAACACCAGACGGCCAATACGAATTTTTGCGAATGCCCTTTGGTCTCTGTAATGCACCATCAGTTTTTCAAAGAGCCATTACTATAGCATTGAAACCTTTTATAGATGAATTTGTTTTGGTTTATATTGACGATGTTGTCATTTATTCAAGCGATTTAACGCAAGGTCTTGAGCACTTAAAACAAGTTCTTAACGCTTTACAAGAAACAGGGTTCACACTTAACGTAAATAAATGTAAATTTTTACAAACCGAAATTGAATATTTAGGGAGAATTGTCTCTAACGGTCAGGTAAAACCTAGTCCAGGTAAAGTTAACGCGCTTCTTAATTCTCCAGTACCTACTACAATAAAACAGTTGCGTCAGTTCTGTGGGCTGGCAGGATATGTTCGAAAATTCATTCCCAACTTTTCACGCCAAATGATACCGTTGTATAATCTTACGAAAAATAACGTTGAATGGAAGTGGGCATCAGAACAAGACTCTGCTAGGGATAAAATTCTTAAATATCTTTCTTCCCAACCTATTTTGACATTATTTGACCCGTCAAAATCTATAGAACTCCATACTGATGCCAGTTCCACTGGGCTAGGAGCAGTTTTATTTCAAAAACATAACGGACAACTTAAAGTAATTGAATATTTCAGTATGCGCACAACTTATACTGGAAGCAGATATCATTCATATGAACTTGAAACACTTGCAGTCGTAAAAGCAGTTAAGCATTTTAGGCATTATTTACTAGGCAGACCATTTAAATTAATAACAGATTGTAACTCTCTCAAAGCATCGCGCAATAAGAAAGAATTACTGCCCCGTGTTCATCGGTGGTGGGCGTACTTACAATCGTTTGACTTTGAAATTGAGTACCGAAAAGGGGACCGTATTCCTCATGTCGATTTTTTGAGCCGAAATCCCGTAACTGTTAACATTCAAAATGTTCTTAATTATAGCGAATGGTTAGAGGTAGAACAAAATAACGATTTAGAAACTAAAAATATAGTAGACTCAATAAAAAATGGTACTATCGATAAAGATTCGGCTTCTAGTTATGAGATACATAACGGCTTGTTATATCGGATTTACAGCACTAAAGATAATAAAATTAAGAAATCTCTTTTTGTGCCAAAGGGATATCGCTGGCATATCATTCAACTTTATCATGATTCGCTTAAACATTTTGGCTGGGAAAAAACCCTTGAGAAGATACGCGAACAATTTTGGTTCCCTAACATGGCAAAATGTACTCGTAAATACGTTGAAAACTGCATTACGTGTAAAATTAACAAAAGTCAATCTGGATCTCGACAAATTGCTTTACACCCAATCGATAAACCACCTATCCCCTTTCATACGGTTCATATGAACACCACTGGTAAGATGAGTGGTAGTAAACTTGCTAAACAATATGCTGTAGTGTTCATTGATGGTTTTACGAAATTTTGTTTTATGAAATCTGTTTCTAACTTGACGGCCATGGCTTCCGTAAATTGTCTTAAAGAATTCATTTATAACTACGGAACCCCTAAAAGAATTGTTTGTGATCAAGCAGCTTCTTATACTGGTAAAGAATTTAGAAACTATTGTGCACATTGGAATATTGAACTTCATTTCATAGCTAGTGGTGTAAGTCGTGCAAACGGGCAAGTGGAACGGATAATGGGAATACTGACAAATTGCTTTACTATCGTTGAAAATACTACAAAAAGAAGCTGGAAAGATGCTATAGGTGAAATACAGTTAGCTATTAACAGCACGCTTAATAAAAGTACCGGTCACACCCCTTTTCAGCTTCTTATGGGTTGCAATCGGTCACCTCCAGCCATAGCTGCCTTAATAAATGACGTGACACGCTTGGATCTAGAAACTTGCCGTGAGTTATCAAAAGAAAATATAAAAGTACAAGCGAATATTATAAAGGAGAAATTTGATAAAACTAAAGCCAAAATTATACCTCTAAAAATTGGTGATATAGTGTTAATTAAAAAGAACCCTCGGACAATAAATAAGCTTGACAGCAAGTATAAAGGTCCATGTGTTGTTACACAAGTACATGATAATGATAGATATACCATTAGAGTACATGGTACAGGAAATGAATTATATGTATCTCATGAAAATCTGCGTCATGTACCTTCAGATTTTGGTTGTGAATGAATAGACTCTTTAGATGTTGAATGATTTGTATAACTATTTTTTTTTCTTTCTAATTTTTGTTTTCTTCGAAATATATAATATATTATAATATATCTATTTATTTACTCATTTTTTTGACTAGCCCACGTACAGTTGATGCCTGGCCAACATTATTCTGTACGCTGGAATGGTTGATAAATGACTTTATTAAATTCATATTGTGTTACACCATGTTATATGGTAGAGCTTTGTGGCAATTACACCATGTTATATGGTAGAGCCCTTGTGGCAATTACACCATTTTATATGGTAGAGCCTTGTGGCAATTACACCATGTTATATGGTAGAGCCCTTGTGGCAATTACACCATTTTATATGATAGAGCCCTTGTGGCAATTACACCATTTTATATGGTAGAGCCTTGTGGCAATTACACCATGTTATATGGTAGAGCCCTTGTGGCAATTTCACCATGTTATATGGTAGAGCCCTTGTGGCAATTACACCATTTTATATTGTAGAGCCTTATGGCAGTTACACCATGTTATATGGTAGAGCTTTCGCATTAGACTAATGTGGATAAATTGTGATTAGTGAACCATCTTTTTAGTTTACTTTAATGTAACATGGCATTTGACTTTGAGGCTGGACCTTTGTGGACGCCATGTTATTAATGTTTCCATGTGATTTGGCATTTGGAACTTGCGATCTGTACGTTGATTAAATTAAATATTTGAGTATTCGCGAGCCATGGTAGGCTGCTCGTCAGAATGGCCGTGTCGGAGATAAAAAGTATTTAATTAAATTTTTAGCATTTCCTTCCGTGCTTTAAGAGTAAGTCAATTAACAGTCTTATTATCAAGTGACTCCCACTACGACATTCGACTATAAAAACAAAGGACAAACCATTTCGTTGGGTCAGAAGCTGTTCGACTGCGAACACGGCACTTTCCTATAAGTGCTCTGACTTAACCGAGTTACCGAACAGGTAATCTCTGTATTACTTAAATAATTATAATAATGATTATGATAATTATTTATATAATCGTTGTATAGTTAAAATACTATATAAATTATTACATTATAATTGTTGTGATCATTGAATTCTTGACATATTGACTAAAATATTTAGATATCAGTTAGATTTTTATTATTAAATATAATATTAGAATAATAATTAATTATTTAAAGGTATTTTCAGTAACTATAAGTAACTTTTGCTTTACCCATGAATTAATTTACAATTATTTTTGTTATCTATCAATATGGTTATATCTTTGTTTATTAAATAATCAGTTGATTAATATTTCTATAAATAAATATGTACTTTAAAAATAGCTGTCTGTTCTTTTTTTTATCCATCTCTCACATATTTTTCGCCAAACCTAACCCAAACCAAAAAAAAAGACAATATATATAATCGATCGTCGTTGTGTAAATTGATATACATGAAGTAATAATATCTAATAACTCATTGGAATATTTTTCGCCAAACCAAACCCAAACCAAAAAAAAAAACAATATATATATAATCGATCGTCGTTGTGGAAATTGATGTACATGAAGTAATAATATCTAATAACTCATTGGAATATTTTTCGCCAAACCTAACCCAAACCAAAAAAAAAACAATATATATATAATCGATCGTCGTTGTGTAAATTGATATACATGAAGTAATAATATCTAATAACTCATTGGAATATTTTTCGCCAAACCTAACCCAAACCAAAAAAAAAACAATATATATATAATCGATCGTCGTTGTGTAAATTGATATACATGAAGTAATAATATCTAATAACTCATTGGAATATTTTTCGCCAAACCTAACCCAAACCAAAAAAAACAATATATATATAATCGATCGTCGTTGTGTAAATTGATATACATGAAGTAATAATATCTAATAACTCATTGGAATATTTTTCGCCAAACCTAACCCAAACCAAAAAAAAAAACAATATATATATAATCGATCGTCGTTGTGTAAATTGATATACATGAAGTAATAATATCTAATAACTCATTGGAATATTTTTCGCCAAACCTAACCCAAACCAAAAAAAAAAATCAACATATATATAATCGATCGTCGTTGTGTAAATTGATATACATGAAGTAATAATATCTAATAACTCATTGGAATATTTTTCGCCAAACCTAACCCAAACCAAAAAAAAAACAATATATATATAATCGATCGTCGTTGTGTAAATTGATATACATGAAGTAATAATATCTAATAACTCATTGGAATATTTTTCGCCAAACCTAACCCAAACAAAAAAAAAAACAATATATATATAATCGATCGTCGTTGTGTAAATTGATATACATGAAGTAATAATATCTAATAACTCATTGGAATATTTTTCGCCAAACCTAACCCAAACCAAAAAAAAAAACAATATATATATATTCGATCGTCGTTGTGTAAATTGATATATATCTTATTTATTTAAACGAGCTATTCTTGTATATATATATATATATATATATATATATCAATATATAATCTGAATCTCGGAAACGGTTCCAACGATTTTCATGAAATTTAGCATGCTAGGGGTTTCGGGGGCGATAAATCGATCTAGATTAGTCTTATATCTGGAAAAACGCGAATTTTCGAATTTTCATGCGATTTTCTTTTGCATTTTCACAATTTTTGCATTGTCACTTCTGGTGAGTGGGCGGCGCCACTGTGCAACTGTCAACATTGTGTCCGTATTTAGTATTTACATCAAGTTTAAATATATTTAAGTGAAAATAATCTAACGAAAAATGGGATATTTTTAAATAAAACCTATGGGCAATATGTAAATATCACCAAGTCTTGATGTGTTGAAGAACAAATGAGCTTTTATAAATTCACCTACCAAATATAACCAAATACAAAACCATAATAAACAAATACAAAAGTGACAAACATAACTTAAAGATACTATCAGTGCAAAACCATCTTTTCTGTGTGTGATGACAATAAAACAAAATAATTTGTGAAGTGAAAGCGTCAAATATTAAAACATATGTTAATAACCTCAAAAACTAATACTCGGTATAAAATTGCAATTCAACTAGGTGTAATTGGTGCTCTTTTTCAATCAGCTTTTCTACTTCCAACTTCACACTTAAGATGGAGGACATAAAAAAGTTTCTAATAAACGTGCAACAAGAAATAAGACAGCAGAAAACAGAAATTTTAGAAATGAAAGAAGACATTAAAAATACAATCAACAATAATATACTTAAATGAGAAATTTAAACAGTTAGAAATAAAAATTGAAGTTCTTGAGAAAAAAATCCAGGAACAAAGTACCTCAATAAATAATTTAGAAAGACATATTAGGCGCAAGAACTTGGTTATGTTCAGAGTAGAAGAAGGTGAAAAATCCTATCATGAACTAGAGGAAAAAATAGTCTTAAACTAAACGGAAATAAAAAAGAAGTTTGCCTGTATCTCCAGAAACGCCTTACCTCAATTATAAACCAAAACTAACAAATAAACAACATACAAAGAAAATCATACCTGGTAATATTAAAGATTTTATATTACAAAAACCAAGATTAACTTTCAACCACACAAATGATAACCAGGAACAACTAAAAACAACACAGCAAGATACAGTATATTAAACACCGTAGGAACCTCCTCATCTTTATCCACCAGTACGGCCGGTCACTTTGGGGGAGTTCGACCGTAACCCTCCAAAGAAAAACAGACATACAATGAACAAAGGTATACATATCTTCACCAGAAAAACTTCTAGAATTAAAAGCAGCATTTCCGACAACAAATCAAAAGAACACAAAGATAAAATTATAAACTTTATAGGCATATCAGAAACAAATTATATATTGAAAACAAAATTTGAAAAGAAACCTTTGCAATCATACAAGCATAATCTCCAACGGAGAGCTCTATGCAGGTCTACTTTGGAGGAGGCTTTTAACCGAGGGGGGTCTATACATGAAAAAGACATTTACTAAATAAATACATTTAATTATGAAATTAAATACCTAATTTATAACTATTGTCAGAATTAATGTATGGAAAGAAATTTTATTATATTTATTATTGTGAAATGTTTAGTATTTACTCAATTGAATTATTTAATTTATTGTGATTGTTTATTTGTTTATTTGTTAATGATAATTTATATATATACAATATCATTTCAAATAATAATAAGAAATTTAAAATAATTTAATTCCAGATTACAAAATTATTAGTTAAAAAATTATAAGTTAATAAATAGTCACTAAATTTTATATTTCAGCAATGTGATGTAGACATTTTTTTTTATTGTACAACTAAAATGGCTCCTTATATACCTACTCTTAAAAAAATAAAATTTTAATGGAATACCGTTATAAAAAGCTGTGCATACTTTTAAATTAAATGTATATACAGATAGGTAAAATTATAATGTTAAATAAATGTTTTTATGTAAATTTAGTTAGTAAGCCTTTATAATAAATAAATGAATAAATAAATAGAGCTTTATTATTATTATGATTTATTTTGCATTATTTCAATAAATTAATAATAAATAATTCCACGCAAAATATTATGTTCGATTATTTCGGTCGCTCAGATATAAGCATCATGGTCAAGTGGCCAATGCGCAAGTTTGACAACCACAGGTATCTGGGTTCGTATCCTGGTCGGACATAAAGTTTTTAATTTTATTTTTTTTTAATGTTTTTTTTGGCCAGAAACCCCGAGCAAAGCTCGGTCGCCCAGGTACTGTAGTAATAATATCTAATAACTCATTGGAATATTTTTCGCCAAACCTAACCCAAACCAAAAAAAAACAATATATATATAATCGATCGTCGTTGTGTAAATTGATATATATGTAGTAATAATATCTAATAACTCATTGGAATATTTTTCGCCAAACCTAACCCAAACCAAAAAAAAAACATATATATATATAATCGATCGTCGTTGTGTAAATTGATATACATGAAGTAATTATATCTAATAACTCATTTGAATATTTTTCGCCAAACCTAACCCAAACCAAAAAAAAAACAATATATATATATAATCGATCGTCGTTGTGTTAATTGATGTACATGAAGTAATAATATCTAATAACTCATTAGAATATTTTTCGCCAAACATAACCCAAACGAAAAAAAAAACAATATATATATAATCGATCGTCGTTGTGTAAATTGATATACATGAAGTAATAATATCTAATAACTCATTGGAATATTTTTCGCCAAACCTAACCCAAACCAAAAAAAAACAATATATATATATATAATCGATCGTCGTTGTGTAAATTGATATACATGAAGTAATAATATCTAATAACTCATTGGAATTTTTTCGCCAAACCTAAACCAAACCAAAAAAAAAAAAACAATATATATATAATCGATCGTCGTTGTGTAAATTGATATACATGAAGTAATAATAGCTAATAACTCATTGGAATATTTTTCGCCAAACCTAACCCAAACGAAAAAAAAAAACAATATATATATAATCGATCGTCGTTGTGTAAATTGATATACATGAAGTAATAATATCTAATAACTCATTGGAATATTTTTCGCCAAACCTAACCCAAACCAAAAAAAAAAACAATATATATATAATCGATCGTCGTTGTGTAAATTGATATATATGTAGTAATAATATCTAATAACTCATTGGAATATTTTTCGCCAAACCTAACCCAAACCAAAAAAAAAAACAATATATATATAATCGATCGTCGTTGTGTAAATTGATGTACATGAAGTAATAATATCTAATAACTCATTGGAATATTTTTCGCCAAACCTAACCCAAACCAAAAAAAAAAACAATATATATATAATCGATCGTCGTTGTGTAAATTGATATACATGAAGTAATAATATCTAATAACTCATTGGAATATTTTTCGCCAAACCTAACCCAAACCAAAAAAAAAATCAATATATATATAATCGATCGTCGTTGTGTAAATTGATATACATGAAGTAATAATATCTAATAACTCATTGGAATATTTTTCGCCAAACCTAACCCAAACCAAAAAAAAACAATATATATATAATCGATCGTCGTTGTGTAAATTGATATACATGAAGTAATAATATCTAATAACTCATTGGAATATTTTTCGCCAAACCTAACCCAAACCAAAAAAAAAACAATATATATATATAATCGATCGTCGTTGTGTAAATTGATATACATGAAGTAATAATATCTAATAACTCATTGGAATATTTTTCGCCAAAACTATCCCAAACCAAAAAAAAAACAATATATATATAATCGATCGTCGTTGTGTAAATTGATATACATGAAGTAATAATATCTAATAACTCATTGGAATATTTTTCGCCAAACCTAACCGAAACCACAAAAAAAAACAATATAATATATAATCGATCGTCGTTGTGTAAATTGATATACATGAAGTAATAATATCTAATAACTCATTGGAATATTTTTCGCCAAAACTAACCCAAACCAAAAAAAAAAACAATATATATATAATCGATCGTCGTTGTGTAAATTGATATACATGAAGTAATTATATCTAATAACTCATTTGAATATTTTTCGCCAAACCTAACCCAAACCAAAAAAAAAACAATATATATATAATCGATCGTCGTTGTGTAAATTGATATACATGAAGTAATAATATCTAATAACTCATTGGAATATTTTTCGCCAAACCTAACCCAAACCAAAAAAAAAACATATATATATAATCGATCGTCGTTGTGTAAATTGATATACATGAAGTAATAATATCTAATAACTCATTGGAATATTTTTCGCCAAACCTAACCCAAACCAAAAAAAAACAATATATATATAATCGATCGTCGTTGTGTAAATTGATATACATGAAGTAATAATATCTAAAAACTCATTGAAATATTTTTCGCCAAACCTAACCCAAACCAAAAAAAAAAACAATATATATATAATCGATCGTCGTTGTGTAAATTGATATACATGAAGTTATAATATCTAATAACTCATAGGAATATTTTTCGCCAAACCTAACCCAAACCAAAAAAAAAACAATATATATATAATCGATCGTCGTTGTGTAAATTGATATACATGAAGTAATAATATCTAATAACTCATTGGAATATTTTTCGCCAAACCTAACCCAAACCAAAAAAAAAACAATATATATATAATCGATCGTCGTTGTGTAAATTGATATACATGAAGTAATAATATCTAATAACTCATTGTAATATTTTTCGCCAAACCTAACCCAAACCAAAAAAAAAAACAATATATATATATAATCGATCGTCGTTGTGTAAATTGATATACATGAAGTAATAATATCTAATAACTCATTGGAATATTTTTCGCCAAACCTAACCCAAACCAAAAAAAAACAATATATATATATAATCGATCGTCGTTGTGTAAATTGATATACATGAAGTAATAATATCTAATAACTCATTGGAATATTTTTCGCCAAACCTAACCCAAACCAAAAAATAACAATATATCCCTTTACAACCGAAGTTTTTTTTTGTAATCCTAACTATAAAACCTTAATGATGGCTTTATACAGGGTCTGCAGAGCCCGAAAACATCAGTTAAAAAAATCTCATGCTCATAGTTAGCCCACAAATCTACCCGCACGATCGTGAGTCGCAGGTCGTACGCGACACAGTCACGATCGTGAGGGTAATTAGAAATAGCCCCATATCTTGGTTTTTGAAGAAAAATTAAAGATGTTTTAAGTAATCAGCCTCTTTATTAGTTACTGTAATGATTCAGTCTCATAATTTTTTTCTTAGAACTAAGAATAAAACTAAATTTTCTGGTAAACAATAAAACAATAACAAAACAAACTTATAAGAATTTACGCAACTTAAAAAATCTTACTTATGCAATCAAGTAAATTATATATAAATAATCTCAAGCAAATTAGGAACTACTAGATCATACTTTCGTATGATAAGACTTGAAACAATCTTTTCCACGTGCGATGCACAAGTAGTGCGACTAGTACAATTTTCGTATCTGCACATTCTAGGAGCTTTTAATTCATCAAACACTGGGAAATGTTCGTATCCATCATACCGCTTTGCGTCAGACGGCCTGATTGCTGGTTGGTATTGTCTTTTCGGAAGTGGAGATTCGTTTTTATCCAGCAGCGGTTCATTTTCAATATTACTCGTAGATGCCCGGTTTCTTGCTGGCATGCTTGACAATCCATCAGCAATGTTCATGCGGAAGTCTAACAAGGGTAAAATCTCCCTACGGCTGAGTTTATTTGCAAGACAATGATTGTGATAGAGTCGCCAAGCATTGACAATAGCCAGGTCTAGGAAGTGTATCAACACTTTCAGGGTCCATTTCTTTGTTTTGATGAATGTCCGGTAATACTCCATCTGCTGGTCCAGAACATCAACGCCCCCCATGTGTCGATTGTAAAGTTCAATTACTTTTGGGGCAGACACATCTACATACATCTTCGTGCGTTTTTCCCATCTCTTGACGATTGAAGATGAGGATGAGCCGGTGCAGTTTGACGCCATTGTAATCGACTTATTGTCCTTCCATTTGACGATGACAGTCGGTTCGCAAATATACTGCTGCGATTCTCCACGAGCCATCCTAGCATCTGGTTTAAATTTAATTACAGCACGTTCAGGGATCCTATTGAACATAATTGTTCCCGTGCTGTGAAGATTCCTCTTAGTCATCTCTTCAATTAGCGGAACACTGGTAAAATATCTGTCGTGATAGACACAGCTTCCGGGCGGGACACTTTTCACCAGATGCAGAACCACAGAAGCTCCAAGTCCAAGAGATGTATCTCCAAACATGGTTTTTGCTCCTCGATAAATGTCAAAGTCAAGCATCAAGCCTTCACTTGTGGTCAGCACAAAGTTCTTCAGACGCACCGGGCGCGGTTTATTTCGGACTACTTGACGAAGAATACATCTACCAGTAAATGGTACCATTTGCTCGTCAATGGAGTAGAAGCCAGGAACTCTTTCAAGTTTATTACATGTTTGTTTTAACCGGTCAATCATCGGCTGCACTTTCCACAGTGGATTGCTACTCTCACTCGGCGGGGCTTCGTCAGTATCAACGACGTGCAATGCATTACGGACAGTCAAAAACCTATCACGAGCCATTTGTTGAGTTATTATTTCCAGTTTTATTCCACCTCTCCAATACATTGGGACACGGGGGTAGGGAATACATCCTATGATGATGTGTATTGCAAAAACTCTGGATACTTCAACCGACGTAAGTTTCAGTTCCTGGCCAGTTTTTCTATGATGGTACATATTTGTGCATCTGGCAATTTCATCAAAAAAGTCTCTATCGAAATAGTCTGCGAAATACTCCATTGGAGTTTTGACAGGAGTCACGGGCAATGGAGCATAGTCATGACTACGATCTTTGAAAGGTACCTGCTTCCAAACTCTCTTTCGAGAAGGTGGCCGCGAAGTTGGTTGTGATGATCCAGGAATATTTTCCGGCTCCAGTGCTGTTAACAGCTGTGGTTCAGGCTCGGCTTCTGTGAATATATCTTCCAAAACGCAGGGTTGGATATCGTCGTCATCGTCTTCAAATTCATCGACGTCAGATAAGTTCCCGTCGGCCAGCAATTGTATTACCTGATCTTCGTTTAAACTTCTGCCTAAAAAATAAAAAAAAACGAACTCTTAGTTATAAAATCTACGTAAACGTAAAAATAGCAATATAAAATAACATTTTGGTAGTGCCGGAACCGGAGCCGCACGATCGTAGCGGTCGAACTTTACGACGTTATTCTAACCAAATCGTAAATATCAGCAAAAAATTAAAATAATCTAGGTATTTAGATATCTTTTAACTTTAAAATAACTATAAAACACAGACAAATACTTTTCAATTACTATTAAAAACAATAACTTACCTGCGGCGCGGCGAGGATCGAAAAACGCAGCCATCTTTAATCGCAGTTCACTGGCGACTGACCGGACTCCCACCCGCCCGTGTGTATTTACCGCGCGTAAAATATATCTCACAAACGATCGACGCCGGTTGCGTTCGGAAAAAGTAAACCGTTTGGCGTCAAAATTAAAAAAAAAACAAAAGTCACGCTCATATCAGCCCGGGTGTAAAGGGATATATATATAATCGATCGTCGTTGTGTAAATTGATATACATGAAGTAATAATATCTAATAACTCTTTGGAATATTTTTCGCCAAACCTAACCCAAACCAAAAAAAAAACAACATATATATAATCGATCGTCGTTGTGTAAATTGATATACATGAAGTAAAAATATCTAATAACTCATTGGAATATTTTTCCAATGAGTTATTAGATATTTTTTTATAACCCAAACCTAACCCAAACCTAACTCAAACATTTTTTTTTTGTAACGTTGGGAAATGCATTTACGCACGACGTGTGGGACTCACCGGCGTAATACAGCCAGTACTACCCACTAAAACCCAACAAAACCTTCCCCCGTCTTAATGGGGCGTCGCAGGATCGCTTACGCATTCAACTACGACGCCCCGACGGCAGGTCTGCCGAAGCAGACCACCACAACCATGGGGTTGCTCCAAGGTCCACTCTGCTATCAGAGAAGTACCAGGAGCAACCCGTAAGGTACACCGCCCCCCGAAGAGGGCCACCTCCCACCGCCCACCGAAGTGGGCAACCTCCCTGTGCGTTTCTTAGCTTCGCTACTAATACTGAGCCCCCCCCACCACGACAAGGTGAACGCACGTTGGGGGGGAAACCTAACTCAAACCTAACCCAAACCTAACCCAAACCTAACTTAAACGAAACCTATCGACTTCAAAAAAAAGAAAAAAAAAACTGAGTTGTACCTTTTTTTATTTCTAGTACATGCTAAAATTACATGATAAATGGTACAAGTACAGTTAAATCATGTTGCACATATTAGTCGTTGTGTTCTATCTTGTTCGTATTGTATCTTGGCTTTTTGAAATATGTGTTAAATAATACAACTCAAGTTATACCCCTCATTAAAATGCATATGTATGGTGTAAATAAATACATGTTTTAGAAAAAAAAAGAACAATCATCGTTTATTAAACTTCTTCAAAATCAATAATTCACTTACAAATATCAAATGGCACAGTTTTATCAAAATTCTTAAGAGCGGTATTTTGAGATCTTATCACCATCATTTTAGAATACGAATGTAACTTAACTATTCTCAATGGGAACTACTATAGTTTACACAAAAGTTACATAAAAAGGCGGTGGTTCCGTGGTCAGAACTGTTCGATCTTAGTACTAGTGTTGTCTCGCATGCATCCATCAGATCAGAAAATCGCCAGCCTCCATTGCCGATGATATAGCGCTCGTTGATAAGAGCCGTGTAGAGCTGGAGCATAGGGTGAACCTGTGGATGGGTACGCTTGAGAGCGACGGTGTCAAACTAAATGTCGCGAAGACCGACTATATGGCTTGCGGGAGTCCGGACTCCAGCACCATCTACATAGGGCTTAAACCAGCCGTTAGGTCGAAGAAATTCAGAAAGCATCGATCACGAAGTTTAAGTCCTTCCTGAAGCTACACAAACTGGTACCTACGTTGAAATCGTTCTACGATAGAATCGAGGCCATTTCATCAGCATTCACCTCACTAACTAATCAATGGCTAGTTTAGGTAGGATCAAACCTAGATCAATTACACTTATCGACCAAATCATAGAAGTAAGAGAATTCGTTGTACAATACAAACCAGCACTAACACTTCCAAAAATATTCGTATCGTCATCGAGAATATTTTGTCTAGGATAAATATAGCTATTAAATAAATTGTCTAAAGCCAAATTTAGCCATTTACTATGTATCTATACGTGGTCTATCTTTTGTATGCCTATCTATATTAGGTTTATTACATAAAAATATTATATGAGGATATGCAATTTACAGCTTAGAATGCCTTACTCAGAGGTTCAGTCAAAACTATTATTATTCATACGCTAAAATTCTTTTAAATTAAATTTTTAAATATCTCCTTATAGGTTATTACATAAAATTATATTACATAATTGATATACATAATAAATATTGTTGTGGTAGTACAGAGCCCTCGGAGCGTGAGTTCGACATCTACTTGACTAATACAAATATGTATTTCTCAATATTTAGTTTAGTCGTGTTAAGAAGAGAATACACAAATAAATCATGTTTTATTTTATTAATTATTTATAAATGAATATAAATGAATTAAGAACACTGAATTTATAAGTGCATAATTATATCAGTGGAACAAGAAAGCTTTTACTATGCACTGCAAGCCTCATCCAACTTATAGTATTTGTTTTTCAGGGTCCCGTTTGCCATCACTAATAATAAGTATTTAATTTGTTTAAGTAGGTATTTTTTATTTAATGGTGTTGTTCTTATACTTTAAAATGATAGTTAACAATAAAATAGACTTAATTTAAATATATTGACATAAATAAACATCATAGCCATGGATGACAAATAAAAATCATAGCTTTCCTTATTTTGTGTCGTTGATGTCAAATATAATTTCGTTCAAAAATCATAAAATATTTTAATTATATAATGTTTCCTTTTACTATTAAAATAAATATTATTTTCAATAACCGATATCTTAGTTTTAGTTTTTTCACCTCATTCATATGTTCTAATAAATTTTACCATAAATAAACGATTAATTTAATAGTAAATTAATTAGTTATACAATAGTTGCAATGTAAAAGGAGGTTAGGTTAGTGTTTAACCTGTATGTATGTTTGTATGTTCGATCCTATGTTCCCTCGTAATTACTAACCTAATCACGATTCGTCTATTTATTTATTAATGTTGATATTGCAACTATTGTATACATTAGAAAAATATTATTCAAATGTGAAAATATTATTTCAAGCGTTTTCAGTAGCTGTATACATTTTTATGCATATACAAATGGGTACATAAATACAACGTGAAGCGTGTATAGTGTATTACCTACTAATATTCGATTACCTGTTATTTATAATGAATTTATTAAAATATATACCTAATTACGACAAAACTTGACGATTACTTAATTTTTGACGACACGTTTGGCTCAGTTTGTAGTGGCCCTACTTTCTGTGCCGGCGTTCGCGGGTTCGAGTCCCGCTGGGGGTATTCATTTGTGTGATGACGAAAGTTTGTGCTCCAGTCATGGGTGTTTATATTTAAAATATGTATGTATTTAAAGTTATATATGTGTAGTGTATCAACTATCTAGTATCCATAACACAAGCCTCGTAGCTTACCGTGGAACTAGATGGTTCTGTGTGTTACTGTCCCAACATATTTTGAAACAAAGCTCGTATATTTTCTTTGATGATATGATGTTGATATGAATTAGAAAACTTGTTAACATTTCATTGCTCGTAACTGTACCCACTTAATAGAACATGGAATATAGAGGTCATGAAATATCAATCTCTTCAAAAATTACTTTTAAAATGGCCAATGGAATCAGTGAATGAAGTGAGTTGGCAACCTCACTTTTCTATTAATCTGCATCAACATTGACTGAACAAGCAATAATAATTAAGTATAACAACCTTCGGGATTTACCTACGATGTCGCAGATAGACACATAAATCTACACGTTTTATTAAACTTACGTAAGTTCAATATCAGTATCGGGGTAGGTATTTAGGGTCAACAATGAAATTAAAATATTCATTAAATTAACTATACATATTTATACTTAATGCATAAGATAGTAGTAATGAAGCCCAGGAATCCGCAATTTCCGAATACAATAGACTTAGATTTTTTATCATCCAGACTTGTCATAATTTGTTATATCAAAGCCTCTGAAAAAAAACCACAGAAACAGGGAGTGGGTTTTTAAGAAGTCCTTAGCTGACACACAAGAAATAGTACAAGAAAAGGGAAAAAGAAGAAATATTTACAAAAAGAAATGAGATCCCATCAAAAACATACTGTAAAAATATTGCAAGTCTCGCAACGCATTTCTTCTACCGCAAAAATTATCAGCAATCTATCCGACAACTTTGTCATAAATCGTTACCGAATCAGTTAAGTTACAACATTTTATAGTGACCGTATTAATATTAGATATATTTATTTCTTTAATTAATAGAATTGTGCGCGTTACATAAATTTATCTAAGTTAAAACAATGAAAATTTAATGTTTGTCAGAACCGTCGAAGTCGGACTCGCATTTGTCCAAATTCTTATATTTTGCTTGATATGATAAATTCCATGAAGTTATTGTAAGGAATATTTAGATTTTAACGCAGCCATGATAATTGAGCAGTAATTGAGATCAGGGTTGTGCTCTTTCGGCTTCCTTCAATAAATTAATTAGGTTGTCGTAAAGCTGCGTCTTCACATCTCCTCCCCATATGAAATCGAAGTGATTGAAGGACTGTCTTGGGATTGGATAGACACCGGCAGTGTTTCTGAGTCTTTGGGCCAAGAAGAGCACGTCCCTGTAATCAGCTTGCGTATCATTGACTCCATAGTGGATGTACGATGGGACCGTGACCTTTGACAGGTCGTATTCTGGTGGCGTGATGCTGTATGCGGCTAGATTGGCGAGGGGGCTGCCATGATGAGCCATGGTTATCATGCTTCTATCATTAACTGCCTCGGTAGTGTAGTGGTTAGCATGTACGGCTGCACACCCGGAGGTACTGGGTTCGAGTCCCGGGTCGGGCCAAGTTTAGTTATTAAATTATAATCAGCTCAATACGCGGACCCCTAAAATAAATCATTTAATTTGTACCTGCACGAAAATCAGTGGTATTGCGAAAATCCTTTGCCACCTATAATTTACATAGTTTGCCTATAGAGTGAGTCTGTTGATAGATATTTACTTTGCGCACATTCTAAAGCGAGTCACGTGTAGGGATTGGTTGATACGTGACCGGGGACAGGGAACGTAGAATGATGTAGGAAAATGCTGTTTTTCCCTCGTAAAGCCGATTGGGACCTAGATATCTATGCCCCTGTGAATTCAAATAGATGGCAAATGAAAGAAAGGACATTTTAGGTGATTTTTATTTTGTAACAGTTAACAGTTAATGATTATTTACATCGATTAAGTATATAAATGCTTCATTCATTTAAATATGAGATGATTAATATTTTTACAAGTGTAGAATAGTCATTATAAACTGTTTAATTTTTGTAAATCATGTTACGTACGGTAAATATTTTAAACGTTTTTTTTTTACTTTTTAATGTTCCCTAGCCAAAAAGAAGTCTTATTTATTGGTCACATCCGCCTATTCGAATTTGGATTTGAAGGTGAATTTTAAATTTATTTAAGCCACTTATTACGGTTTCAGAGAGAGGAAAATATTATATAACATAAGAAAAAGATTTTAATGTACCATGTAATCATAATCAAAAAATGAGTATTGTGAATAATAATTATATAGTGCAATATTTATCGATATGCCTGTCTATACATCAATACAAAAACTCTTTAGTTCATATTGTTTAGTAAATAGCATAAATATTTGTAATAATATAATGATCATAAAGATTTTCTTTCTTAACATTATTTTATGCTGATTAGGTTTGTATCTGCTATCAGTGCTTACATAATATGCTTCTCACTACTTTCAGTGCTGCATGTTGAATTCAAGCTCGGTGACAAATCCTACTTTAAGATAGTGGGTGAGATACTTAAAGCAGGACCAAAGCGTACTGTAGCTTTCTTCCAAGCCTTCTCGTTAGTTTTTTTTGGCGCTAGAAACTGATATTTATCGCATTGCTGTTTGATAAATACAAGCTGAATGACACGATATTATAATAGGGTATTATAATAAAATAATATATTTAATATATTCTTGTAAAATATATTAAAGATCTGTAGAAGGTAACAATATGTAGAAGAAGCTAATATCATACCGTATACAAAGAATACGACTTATGCAAAGTGTTTTACGATTCCAAAGTTCTTCCGTTGTATAGAGACTGAACGAATCGATTTTTTTTAGACGGGGAATATAAAGACAAACCAGTTTATTTAGTTGCACAACCAATCAATGCTATCAAAGAGAGAGAGAGAGAGAGGCTATCAACATGTTCATGAAATTCTCTCTTCCAGAATTGAACTTTCTAAGTCTATTGCTTAATAAGATTCTCATGTAGTAGTTTCAAGGGTGGCTGGCGGGTATTTGGACTACCAAAACGGATCGACAACCTAATAAGTATAATTTTATAACTAATATATTTTTATAACATAGTTCCAAGAAAATTGTAGTGATATAGTAGAATATTATCTGTATTTGTAGTACATAGTTAATATTAGCTTTATTAAAAATAACTTACTATTTGATAAATTTATCAACAGCTTCTTTTACTTAATATTGTGCAATTGGGACATGTTGTACATTAATTATTGGTATATACCTATATTAAAATATATAGGTATCAATCTTGTGTAAGAAGCTTAAGCAATATTATTTTTCTTAAAAAATAATATTATTTATTAATTTTAAACTTTCACCATAATTATTAATAACCATTACAAACGTGTATAGGTTAAATACAGAATCATGCGTTTTTGTAATAAAATAAACTTTTTTATATCGTTTAACAATTAGTCCTTGTGAATATAAGTCCTTGTAAATATGCACATTCATACTTAATTAACCTCTGTCCTTTTCTGTTTGAGCGTATAAAATAAAAATTGAGAATAATGTATGTATGTATTCAACCCCTTTCGACGTCCTCTCATATTGAAAATTGCGAGAGGATCGGGCTGGCCGAGCGCGGGACTGGCGGACTTCATATGGCTGTCGAAAATTTGTTAAGTTCTCTCGAATATACAGGCTTTCTGACAATGTTTTCCTTCACCGTAAATCTCAATCACGTTGACAATAATTCGTATTTGAAATATCAGAATTGCGAGGCGAGATCCAAAGTTTGAATCAAAGTTTTAATAGGCTACCAAGCAAGCACGCTATCACTGGGCTACCACCATCTCGTTTGAGAATAATAACATCATATGTTTATAAATGGGTTATATTTATTTGCAATTGACTCAAGCTATTACTGCTTACATCAACAAGGCTAAAGCTTTGACAAAATTTGCAGAATTCTGTTAGCTGTAATTATAAGTAAACAAAAATATTAGTAGTATTTTACGACATGTTTGGCTCAGTTGGTAGTCCCTACTTGCTGTTCCAGTGGTTGTGGGTTCGAGTCCCGCTGGCATTTATTTGTGTGATGAGCACATAGGTGCATGCAGATAGGTGCACACACGTACACACACACTAGTATTGATTCACTCCGTCTCTTTTCATTTTTTTTTCGATTACATTTGAGTATCGTGTTATTTTAAGAAGTTTATCGGGAAGACTGTTAATTTTTTTTATTAAGCTATTGCATAGCTTCTATCGCGGGCCTTGAGCGTGGGGACCGAATCCAGAAATTCCGTAACGAAAAAAACCTGACACCCCCCACTCCGACCGGCACAGCGGTGATACTTCCATCTATCGATAAATACCAGAACTTTTAATGACTTTTTGAAATATCACGCTTGTCTCTTTAGTTTAGCAACCCGCCTTTAGGTGGCATTGGTTGTATTGGAAAACTACCGTAATCAGCTGTTTGTGAGAAATTATATAGGTGTATAGGTATTTATCATCTATGTACAACAGTGAATATCTGTACTCGTATAATTTGTGTACAAAGTGTTTTAAATATGAATAAACAAAGTGCATTTATTAATGAAGAAAGTCAAGGAAAAAAAATACTGCATTAATAAAATAAATAAATAATTATAATTGCATAAGCTGATAAAAAATGTTATGCAATAGCTTTACCGCGGCAGTCTCCGAGTGCCACAAGTCTTTTTTATTATTTTAGTGTGTATTTAAAGTGATAAACAAAAATGATTACTCATTATCAATTTTTAAATTTTCTGATATTTTCATTGTTCTGTTTACACAATTTTGCAATTTTCTTTATATATGTTATCTATTTCTCCCATAAACAACGATATTTTTGTCACTTAAACGTCCACTGTCACGTGCTGCTACACAGCGGAAACGTCCGAGCGCAAACGATCGCGAGCGAGTTTTTATGACGCGCAACCCGAGGTCGAAAAAAACATTTGCAACTTAAAAAGTATGAGAGCGATTTTAATTAAAATAAACAATACCTTTGTTTAGGTTAGTTAATAGATAATATAAAACAACATTCACGTTCATATTAATAAATAACATAGAAATTTAAAACGGTAAATATATTTGTCTAATTTGACGGCATTCCATATCCATACATAAATATAAAGTACCTGGGCACCGAGCTTCGCTCGGAGTTTTTGGTTAATAATTGCAATTTTCTTTAAAAAAAACTAGAAACTTGAATAAATACAAAAAAAAATATACCTTTGTATCCGACCGGGATTCGAACCCGGACACCTATGATTGTCAATCTTGCGTCTTTTTTTTAAACAACTAAAAACTTGAATAAATATTAAAAATAAATAAATAAAAGTATGCGACCGAGATTCGAACCTAGACACCTGTGATTGTTGATCTTGCACCTTGGCCGCTTGAACACGATGCTTATACTTGAGCGTGCAAATTACCGACCATATTTTGCGTGGAATAACGCAAAAGAAAACCGCATGAAAATTCGAATATATATATATATATATATATATATATATATATATATATATTTTGTTTTGACGTTGTCAATTTTTTTCTAAATAATATCATAATAATCCAGGTCAACATATAGGATACTTTTTACTATGGGAATATATCTCATTTCTGAGAAATCTATACTAAACGTTAAAACGTAAGAGGGGACGAACCCGAGCGGAGCGAGGGTGAGACGCTAGTGAGGTATAAATATCGGTCTCAGTAATCATAAAGGCTAGAAAATGAGAATAAGGAATGAAAATTAAAATAAAATTAAAACTCTTTTAATAATAAGAATGTTAAATACAAATCTGAATAAAGGCTTTGTTTTATCTTTTAACTGGATGGTATAAATGTGAAACATTTGTGGTAGGTACTTTGTTTTCAAGTTTTTGTTTGTTGCCGGATGGTCAAATATTTGAATAAGACAAAGAACACACCTCGTTTACGAAAACAATTTGCAATGAAAATAAAATCATATTTCGTAGTTCAATTATCGAAAATTAAAATTTTTCAAGATACTGAAAAATAAATTAATAAAATAATTATAATTGTTACCATTTACAATTTTAGTAAAATACGCTTGTTAAAATTTTATAAAAACAAATTAAACACCCATTTGTGATTTATTTATTTTTGTAAATCTATGTAAAATCTTTTAAGCTCTGTACATACTCGTACTTTTGTAATTTAATACTTTCGGATTAATTTTTAGATTTTTGGTTCCCGACGTTTCATTCTCTCCCGTGACCATGATTGTTGTAAAGCATTCGAAACGTCGCGTCGGGAGATAAAAATTAAAATATGATTTTTGATTTATCCATCTCTTACAAAATAAAATCTTACGAAAGCATATTATTCTGTTATTTTATCTATACTTATTATAAAAATAAGTCCCCCGGCCGCGTCTTTCTGTCCTCCTGTCTGTCCTCCTGTCTGTCTGTACGCGATAAACTCGAAA